TTTAATAAAGAATAAATGGACCAAATATTAGCAATGGGTCAGGTAGTAGAAGTAATGCCAATGTACCCAATGCTGATTGTACTCCTCAGACAAAAAAGATAACCAAGGAGGAGCTGGCAAACATATTTCCTTCTTAAATTTTCTCTGCTGCATAGTGACTACAATTCAGCTGAGCCTACGGGCATTATGTTCCAGATTACTGAGGGAATTGTATTGACCATTTCATCATTAAGTAAGACCATCCTGCCTTTGAAAATTTTTAGATTTTGCTTTCCCTAAAGATTATTGTTATAGCATGAATAAATGGATGGAATATTTTAAAATACTGGATTTCAACAAAGTCTCAATTATTTATCTTATTAAAGCATTTGCTTTCAAGGCCCTAATATCAGAATATCAACTATCTGGCATATGCACTTTTGAAGGAGAAGATGATCAAATATAGACATAAAACCACAATTTCAGAACTGTGTACAAGGAAAAAGCAAATGAAAGGTTTCAGCTGAGTTATATTCATGAAATGTAGAAAAATGTCCAGATGAGCTCTTGATGTGTATCCCATGATCCCTTGTGAAACTGTATCCGTATTTATACATCTCAGTTTTCCAATGCTTAGGCCAATGGTGAAGGGATACCATGGGGAAGCTCCCTTTCATGCTATTACAACATTCACAATAAACTATAGTCATCTAAACTGTACTGAATGTCAAAAAGAAATATTAATAAATATGGCCACTTGGTCAAAATATAGAATAATGGACTACAGGTCATATCAGCAATGAGTGTTCATGACTAAGTGTGGGCTCAAACTTTGGTCTCCCAGCCCCATTACACTATTCTATCTCTCCATTCTCCTCTGGGATAACTTAAGAAACAAATTTGTCTTCCTCTCCTGAGTGTTTATGATTTTATTTTACTACTTCTTTATGTCCCCCCACAACTCTGACCTGCTCAAACCCTATGCTATTTAGATCTCAAATTTCCCACCTTGAAAACAGGTGTGCAAAACCACTTGCCAGATTTCTAGAAACATCCAGACCAGCATCCACCCTGCATAGCCACCATGCGGAAGAGAAGATAGTTTAAGGAGGAAATATAGTATGTTTTCCAGCTCCTCTTTGTTTATCTTGTATGTCTTGTGCATATAATCAGCACTGGGTATATAACACTACGCAGTGCTGATTATACTACCTGATCCATTGCAAACTTTTGATGCATTTATTCAATATTAAAAGTTATTATATTGACTCCTTAGTTATCACATGTAATTGATAACAGCAACTCCCTGGCTTTGTCTGTAGCCGTCCTCAGCCCATAGATCTAATCAAACAAATTCTTCCATTAAGTGCATGATCCTATGTTTTAACCCTTTTTACCTGTTTAAAAATCTCTCAGGTAAAGAGGAAAAGGACAAAATGGGAAAAGATCCAGCCATGTAAAGTCTTGTGGGATCAGAAGAGGAATTTGCTAAGAGTTTAGTTTTGTGATGGTTAACTCAAACCTAGGTCCAACTTAGAGCTGACAAAGACAAAATTCCAGATGTGCTAGCTATTGCAGTGTCACCACATCTTTGTCATTATAAGGTTTGAAATAGTAGACCTAAATAAATAAATATTCATTTCCATCTTGTATATATTGTATATATTTTAAAGGCTTAGAGTACTATTTAACTGCAGAATTTCTTTTGAGAAGTTGTGTTAGTACTGTAAGAGACTGCCTTTTAAAATGAATTAATGTGAGAGAAAAGAAATAGTCATTGACTGTGGAATCCCACATGTTGTTATTATGCTCTGCCAGGAGCAATAGTTTCTCTGTGAATATAAATCCAATCTGATTGAATCCAAATGGAAAAGATACAGAAGTACCTAAATAGACTTCTGCTTTCAAACACCTTGTGACAGTCTCCAATCCCTTTCCAGCTGTTGACATCTATAGCTGTATATCTTTTGTTTTATTGTATAATTTTGTTAATGTATCTTGCTTATTGTTTTAATAATTAACAGAAACCACTCTGTCTAAATATTTTGTATGTAGTATAAACACTCTAAATAATAGGGTGTTTTAGTGATGCTAAACAACTCCATATGATGAAGCCAGAAAAAGGATATTGATGGAATGCCCTTTAGCTGTAATAGTCATAGAGAGATCAATCATGCTCTTAATAACTGCATTGCACATCTTCTCTGTGCTTCACTAAGCAGTTCTCTATATTGAAAGCGCACATTTTTCTTAGTTTGAAGATAATTTTATTTCCTCAGGATGTATAACTTTTAAACTTTAATTCTTTTAATCCTGTTGGTTGTTAGTTTGTATTTAGGTTTTATGCCTTTCCTTTATGTAAATAGGATTTCCTTTAATACTGGACAGTGCATGTTGTTAAATAAATATACTGAAATATTGTTTTACCGTGAAAATATAGTGAGTCAAATAGGATGTGGGAACCTGATTATCCACAAATTGTTTAGGCAATGCAGTTACATTTTAATTAAAGAGAGATTTAGTGGCTCCTAAATATAAGAATGAGGTAGACTGATCTGTGTCAATTTTTCCCCAAAAATTATCTTGAGGATGGATTGATCACCCATACCTCTGACAATAGAGCTTCCTTGTGCAAGTTTCAAGGGTCTTCCTTGTTCTTATTTATTTGTTCATTTGTTTGCTTATAGTGCAGGATTTGTATACTGCCCCATTTGGCAAGCCATCCCTGGTGCACAGCAAGAAAAGCCAGGGCAATAAATATCAATTCCAAAAAACAAAATAAAAATGAGCCCAGTGGTTACATACTAATGTCTGAAGATCTGGCTAAAGGTAATCAGATACGTGTACATTTGGGAATCAGACACATGTACATTTGTTCCTGTTCTTGACTTGACAAAAAAAATGCCAATATAAATTTTCCCACCTTTTTTTGCTAAGCCCAATTCAACTGCTGGAAGCAAAGGAATGGTGCTGCCTCTCAGAGATTTAATGTAGGAAAAGTTGAGAAAAGCCACTGACTGATTTGTCTGGCTTTGTTTGCCTTTCCATCAAATGCTGTTAGATGTCCTTTGTGTAGGGTGGGGCAGGAGAGGGGGTAGGTTTTGCAAGATGGCTTGCCTTGCAGTACAGATGGTTTCAAAAGGAACCTTTCAGAAATAGTGCTAAAGCTAAACCCATCATTTAAAAGTACCCTGAAAGAAGCTGTTGACAATGCCTGTTTTGAATTGAAGTGGGAAGGAACTTCACCTCGCAACTTCACCCCTGCACAGCTTTAGATGATTGAAAGGACCGTAAAGACACCAGCACTCACCCATCCCATTGGACTACTTTGCCATCCCATCCAATTGGAAGTTGGGATGGAACTCTCTGTTAAGGCAAGGTGAGCAAGTACTAACCTATTCCTTAAATCAGGCTCTGCAATTGATCCACTGGGTGGAATGGGATACCTGGCTCTACTACTCATAGGATTAGCTGTGAGCCCAGCACCTAATCCATAAAATGATTTGGGAGAGCAAAACTCCTCATGCATGGAGAAGCTGCTGAGAGCCCAGCCACAGGGGAGTGGCTGCGGGTGCCGGCCGGTTGCTCCTTCCCCTTGCCCTGCAGCTACTGCTGCTGCTCTTCTGGGGCAGCGGGGCTGTGCAGGGACTGAGTCCGTGCAGGAGGAACACCTGTTTGGCGCCGGGGTAAGAGGCTGGCTGGCCAGGAAGCAGTCAGGTTCCCTTGGCAGAAGTGGCGGGATGGGGGGCTGCACTGACTTGTTCTCGGTGGAGGGACGGGTTGCGCTTGATACACTTCCGGTTTCTGGCATGCACATGCACACTGTCCAGCTGGTCTTCGCGCATGCATGCACACCAGAAACCGGAAGACCAGGTGGCCGGTGCACATGTGTGCACCGGAAGATCATCTTCCCAGCGTGCATATGCACGCCAACTGGCTGCTCTTCTGGTTTTTGGCACACACACACACACACACACTCCCATTTTGGCACTTGGTGCCGAAAAGGTTCGCCAACACTGAACTAGCACATTGGCATAAATGTGATGCACAATGACAGAGCCCCTCCCCCTTTTACCTCACACCCTCTGTCCCCCACTACTGTCAGTGCCCAGGACCAGAGGAGAGGAGAGATGTGATCTCAACCCTGCAATACATTGTTGAATCTATCACACAGGAGATGCCACAGATTGTACAAGATTGGTGTCAATAGAAGATGTATCTGGTGGGCTGCAGATGTAGTGTACTTTAAAAATGATTAGCAAGGTATCTTTATGCCTTTGCTAGTGAATTGTGAAGATGAGTCCACAGCTGTTGCTTACAAGTTAACTTAGGAAATATGACTATGGCTTATATTAAATGTTATGAAAAAAATAAAAAGGCAAAGGCACTTTATACTTGTATCAAATGGATGTAAGGAGGAAGGATTAAAGATAAACGTGTAGTACAGAAGAAATATTCTGTAGGCTCCCAAGAGACATTTACCTGAAACAAATAGTTAGCAGGAATTTTAAAAAAGGAATCAATAGAAATTTAACCTTTGTTGTTGTAAATGCTAGTGATGGATAATGGGATTTAAATAAATGCTTTCTCTCTTTTTAAACCCTTTCATTTAAATATGCAACTATCTTTGTTCTAACCTGGAGATACCCCCGTGATCAAATGAAGGAAATCTTGTCTAAACATATACACTGAAATTCTTCACTTATAGATCCCAGAGCTCAAGTCTAGTAAAGTTATAGACTAAAAACCAGAGGGTTGATGAAGGTTAGGGGAGAAAAAAGAATGGAAGCATCTTGTGTTCAAAGTCTGGACAAATCAGATGCAGGTGATTTTCTATCAACTATGTATTGTTCCCTCTGTAATTGAAGAGACTGCTGTCATCGATTATAACCTGCCTAATTCAGTTCATCCGTAGATTTAACAACAAATATATATATGTGTGTGTGTGTGTGTGTGTGTGTGTGTAGGAAACACAATACTGGAGCAGATGGCATTGCAAGTATTAAAAACTACAATCCTACCTCATTCATGTTGCTTTATTGCAGAAAAGTTCAATTTCTTTCAGTAATGCATTTTTTTTAAAAAAATCACTAGTTAATTCAGATGAAATTATGGCTTTCTTAAGCAACTAAGAAAGTTTTCTTTAAAAATTTTACAATGTGCAGAGAATAACATTCAATGTAGTTATGATTGAAGATGGTCTCACTGTATTTACCATAAAGATACCCATAAGGAATATCTATCTATAAATGGAAAGGTTTATAGAATTGTAAAGTTAGAAGGGGATATTTTGATGAGAACTTGCTTGCTTATTTATTTATTAATTAATTAGTTCAATTTATATGCCACCCTACTCTGGAGACTCAGGGTGGCTTACAATGCATTAAGCAATAGTCTTCATACTTTTGTATATATCTGCTTAGTAGAACTTTTTGGTGTTCTATTTTATACAAAGTCAGCTTATTGTCCCCACAAACTGGGTCCTCATTTTACCTACCTCGGAAGGATGGAAGGCTGAAATCAACCTTGAACCTGGTGAGAATTGAACTCGCAGTAATTGCAGGCAGCTGGCAGCTAAGTGCTACTTTAACAGCAGTTTAGTCCGCTTCTGCCACCAAGGCTTAGTGCCTTCACTTACCGTTTTCCCCAAAATAAGACATTATTGATTATTGATAATAAGTTCAATTGGGCTTTTGAGTGCATGGCTTAAGGGTTCAAAAAAATATAAGACAGGGTCTTATTTTCGGGGAAACACGGTAAATATATCTAATTACAGAGAAATAAATATTTATATTTTCATTTTTGTAGGCATTTTCAGTTCTAAAAATTCATCAGAAATAATTGTTTCTGCAATGACTTCTATATTTAGTCACTTATAAACCCCAAGCTTGGTTGGATGCAAAATTACTACTATATCCGATATTATCTCCTCTCAACAAACAAGTGCTCTATATTCAAATCAAACCAAACCAAACCATTTTCATTCCAATAGTTCCTTTGCTGAGCCACTAACAGGAATAATTTGAGAGATTAACAGAATTCCTCTTCAGGATCCAAAACTATCAGTATGTTTTTCACTTTTATTCTTGGTTGTATTTCTATTCCTTTGCTATTCTCAATTTAAAAAATGGAAAGAGAAATGTTTGGCACTTAAACATAACTTTACTGAAATTTAACAGGAATTTAGAAGCTCAAGTGCTTTTTGGCAGAATTATTCAGGAATTTCTGCCTTAAGTCCCTTTGGAATGAATGAAAGTTGAGTATCACTCTACTTTGATGCTACGTCCTTTCATTTACAATTTATCTCACACAAGAGGGCTTTGCTTTAGAAATAGCTATTGTTAAGTCTTTGGAGTGGATTATTGCAAGCTTTATGACAAGGAGTGCATGGTAGAAAATATGAGGCACTGGGATGGAAGAAACTGGCAAGAGACTGGGGAGGGGAAAGAACCAAACAACAGGGGGTGGTGATAAGAGATCAAGTAAGAAAGAGGGGGTGACACAAAGGCAGTGGGAACAGACAGGGAGGGAGGGAGGGACTACAAAACTCAAGTTTGGGCCCTTCTTAAAGCGAGAATGGGCTATGCCGGGGAGTCCATCTCAAGAAGGCCAACTCATGAAATGTTGTGGAGATATTCAAGTAGTTTCCTAGCTGCAGACAAGCTGCTTCCAGGCAACTAGACCCTAAAAGCACCAACAGCTAGAGATCATCATCAGCAACAGCAGCTCCTAGATATTCTGAGGGGGGCAGGAAGGGAGAGACAGAGTCTTATCTACCAAACAAGTTCCATGTTTGACACCTGAGGTAATCTTCACCAGATATTCTCCGTCAACCCTCATGCCATACACATCAAGTTTCATGAACTTGTAATTTTTATTTTATAATTAACAAAATATCCACAAAATGAAATCTGAAATACATAAACTCCATAATAATCATATGAACATTATATGAATGATCATAATAAATGCTATTACCTAGTTTCAATTTAAAATTAAATTTAGTTTTAATTTGCAAACAAATTTCAAGTCGTTAGACACAAATACACTTTAATACACTGCTTTACATTCCAGATTCACAGTAATTAGTAGCACAAAGACTGTTTTAAATATATACTTTTCCTTGATCTCAGGTGAAATTCTAAAAGGACAAGAAAACAGTAACTTGAACAAAATAATTGTGTGATGAATTAAAAGGTGGATGTGGAATGTTTACCCTGTATAGCATTTTTACAGCATGCAAATTATGCTTGTTAGATCAGGATATATGGATTTCATTTCTGCTTCTTTCTTCCAAAGGAAAAGGTACATGACCATGTGGTACAAAGCATCTTCTTAAAATACAATATAAATTTATTAGCACATTTGCTTGTGCTTAATTTTGATGGGAGAGAAGTATCATAATTTATCAGCTGCATCTGAAAAATGTTACAAACAATGGTGTCACAGTAAAAGCAAAATAGGAGGCTTAATATTTTGACTGAAATGTTTCCTTATCCAGCATGAATTCTGCAAATCTCTGCTGAAGTTCTTTTTCTCTTTCTTGTTGCCGTTGAACATCTTCTTTTAGGCACTGTAAGAGCAATGTAATAAAGTTAGCATGAAGTAATCTGGAAGGAATAGGATGCTATCCTCAGCATGGAAGGAAAGGATTATAGTAAAACTTTCCTAATAAGCCACACAGACAAGTCTTTACTTTCAATGGGAAGTGACAGAAATCTGGAGTTCAGCATTATTATGTAGAGAGCTAATTTCTAATAGACGTTATAAAATGTTCAAAAAAATAGGAATGACACACACTGTATAGCAAAGCCAAATCTAAAAGGAAATCTAAATATAATGATTGTATGATATACAAATTTAAAAAATAATTTTACAAGTACTGCATTGCTTAGTTTATTTCATTTAGCACTGTCATTCTTTTTAGAGAAGGATTGTAGATTAACACTCCACAATTTTACCTCCAGTCGCCTTGGAATAGCTGCATCTTCATGCTTCTTTAATTCTTCAAATGTGCACAGTTCAAGATGAGCTTGTTCAATCTGATCCCACAAGTCATTTAATTGCTTTATGAGTCCCATGGCTCGAGACTGATAACCACCAAGCAATATCTTTAGCTTTTTTTCCATCTTGGCAGCTCTCTTAGCTTCAGTAGTCATGTGACCTCGGTTAATCTGTTGACAAATGCAATCAAGAATGTGGCATGATTATCTAATCATTACATCTCTCTCTCTCTCTCTCTTACACACACACACACACACACCATTGAGCTGTAAAAGAAGCGATGTTATATCTTACATTTATCTTCTTCCCTAAGATATAGACACAGATATATAGGAGAATTTTAAGTGCTTACATATGTAACTTATATCTTTGCAAATCAACCCTTCCACACTGTTCAACAGTGCAAACGTGAGATTCTGGAAGTATGAAATAAAAGAACAGAACAGACAGGGAAGTCCAAGTTTAAAAAAAGAACACACAAAAGATACTGGAAGGTAGCAAAGTTAAAGATAAACCTATTTAAAGATATTAGTAACGTTAAAAATAAGTCATAAATATAATAAATTTATCCTTGTGGAATTAATGTATTTGTCTTTTTTCACAGACATTCTTGAGAAAATTCTGGGGCAAACGCAATACTACAGTGTGGTTGAAGAATCTAATAAGATCCAGTGTTTTATATATGGCCTATGCCCTATGTTCTATCTGGATTAATTTTGAACAGTCTTTTCATGAAGCCAAATAAAATTTCTGAAAATCATCTCATGACCTAAAGGATCACTTCAAGATGAATTCTGGAATTTTAAAATCATGAACTTTTACAGACTGAAATAAATGTTGGTACTTAAGGATATTGGCTATAATCTAAAAAGGCAATTCTCCTAAAATAACTGTTTAATCCCACTCTTCATCGTATCATAGTACAAATGTTGATGGAAAATTCAAAATGGTAGGTACCATGTTAAAAAGCCATTTCTTAGACAAATGGAAATCTTTTTTGACAATTCCTATTGCAATTCTAACAAGCATATTCTAAAGGATAGTTTGTTTTTTTCTCTCCAGAATCCTCCCTAAACAAACCAGCATCAGAATCCTGATTCATTTGCAAAGCTGAACACTTAGTTGCTTCTATCAGGAAAAGGAAACAAGCAGGAGCATCTGGCATCACTTCTGATAAACCACAATGATAAAGAAGCTATGTGTTTAATTGTAGAGAGACTGCTGTTCTGATTGTCCAGTCTGTCTGTTCCTGTCTGTCTGTCTCTATTTCTACATATACAAAACAAATACTTATAAATTTACATTAATTTTACTGATTCCTGCAATAAAAATTACACTGACATTAGTTTCTAAAAGCCAGCATGCTGCATAAAAAAAACAAAAAACAAACCTTCATTTAAACTGTAAACCGCTCTGTTAGAAATTTAAATTTAAAAAATGGAAAACAGGTGAAAATTCATACTGACAATCACAAATCAATGGATTGTTAAAGTAAAGGTGAATAGAATGAAATGAATAGAATAGAGAAGCATAATGTCAGATACATTCATACATAAGCCACGGTGGCGCAGTGGTTCGAGTGCAGTACTGCAGGCTACTTCTGCTGCCTGCTAGCTGCCTGCAATTTGGCAGTTCAAATCTCACCAGGCTCAAGGTTGACTCAGCCTTCCAGCCTTCTGAGGTGGGTAAAATGAGGACCCAGATTGTTGGGAGCAATATGCTGTCTCTGTAAACTGCTTAGAGAGGGCTGTAAAGCACTATGAAGCGGTATATAAGTCTAAGTGCTATTGCTATAAGGATCAGTACCTATATTCAAAAGTCAGTCTAAACAGAATACAAAGTTAATTATGTTCAGCAACACTACTTTGTTTATTAAACATAAGCACACACGTCACAAAGCCATCTGAATTTGAGTAATGGAAAAATTTTCCCATTCAAAATGCTCAGAAAAATGGATTTTCTCTCTTCTCTTCTTGAATATTATTTGAAACTTTTAACTGGTTGAGTTGCAGATGCTTCTTGAAATTCCAAATTAGGGGCACATGATGGATAAAAAACCCCCACTACTATCATTTGTTCAAATTCTACGCCAAGGTTTTGCACTAAATTACTCCTCTTTTTGTTATGTAAAGCCTGAATTTCATGCTATCCACTTGGGGAAGGTATAGAACATCCCAAAAACAAACATGGTCCCAACTCTTCAAAACTTATGTGAAGATTAATATCAGTACACAACTATTTACTATCGCCACAAAATGTGACGGAATTGCCTGCTATCAGGGCCTACTTGACAATAACAATGAAACAGAAATAAAAAGATAGTAGGTGAAAAGAGATGAATGTACTTTAAAAATAATACAAATTGAAAAAGAGAAGTTGACATGGATTCTGGCAAAGACAGTGCAGACGGAAATGAAGCAACCAAAAGAAAAACCAACAAGGCCTTGGAGGGAATGAAACGTGCTACAAATAAAGAACTAAATTGAAAGACTGATTTATGGGAGAGTGCAGCTCTTAGGTATGCATTCCAATCAGGGATAGGGGGAAAAAGCACTATACTCACTGTAGTTAACCAGTCAGGATTTCTTTATTAGGACACTAAATTGTACTATATCTTTTTAGGAGTTTAAATCTATATGGGCACTTGACTCAAAGGAAGATAAGTTTGGGTAATGTAGAGAAATTTAAAAAAAATGATGAGGAACTTGATTAGCAACACTGGGTGTTTTTTTTGCCACTATTTCATTTAAATATAGTAACCAAACAGCATATGCCAGAAGAATGGATTTATCCTCTTTCTCCATCCTTTGCAGCAGATGGAAAGGAAGGACAATCACAGAAAATTGGATTGTTCTTCCCAGCTGCCCATATATATATTAGAGTATGAAGCCCTGCAATGACATCCCACAAAATAGGTTTTAGCAGATTTCAGCAAAAAACAATGTGAGTATATTTTCTAACAATTTGAAGGAAACACTCATGTATCTCAGTGTATAGATACATGGATTTAGGAAATCCATACACTTATGTAAAAACAGAGAATTCACCTTACATTTATATATACTTTAATAAAATGGTACAATAAATAATTCGGTTTGTGTGCTATTATTTGCGGAAAGCAGAATACCTAAGGGGCATGTAGGAGAATCAAAGATTAAAGATCATTCTCAAAATTCTAGACAAGACTAACAAACAATGCACATAAAGTCATGTGAAGACAATAGCATTTAAAAAATAAAATATTTCATTTGTAGCATGCTTTTAGACTGCAATCCAATATGTGTGTTTGTCTATTAAGAAATAAGCCTTACTGAACTTGAAGTTTTCTTTCAACTAAATGTCAATACATTGGGAGCCTTAATCTATATGGTCACAAATCTGAGTGAAATTCATATTTAAGACATCACATAATTTTCATTTGGTGAGGAAAATACTATGCTGGAATATTAAAGAAAGCAGTTCATCTTCCCTATTATATGACCATGTAATGGAAGACACTGAAGAGCAATAGTGCACTCTGCTGGACTATATGTATGTTCTATATATTGCAAGTTCTTTGAAAAATAAACAGAGACTATTTTCACCTTTTACCAGGCATTTGTGTTAATTTCAGCTACACCTTCAACATAGAATACACTTCAATGCAATATTCATAAACCATTTATATCTGTCACCCTAAATCGCTAGATCCACACATATTCATTTAGATGACACAAATACTAATTTTATGCAAGTGTAGTTACATAAAACAAAGTCACAGGTAATCTATCATACAACAGCACTACTACATATTTGCAAACCTTTTGCAAATTTGCAAAATTGGTAGACCTGAGCATGATGATCACAACATCCATTTAAAATCTTAACTCTCCAGATCATAAGCACAAAAGCTTGAGTACTTTATATAAGCCCTTAAGCTTATATATAAGCATACATAGTCAATCAATTGTCATAAAAACCTGAGAGAAACATCCATTATCTTGACAGACTAGCAAAAAACAGTGCTTCTGGTTTCTGGTTTAAAAATAACTTATTAATATTATTGATAATTTAACCCTAATTCAGAGGCTAATGTATTTACCAGTCTCTTTTCAACTATCCAAATTTATGGAATCCCATTCAATAATCATGTTTAGGCTTTAAGATTATGAAATGCAAAGGAACTTATTCAGTGCAAAGGTGAGATTTTTTGCAAGTCCATCAGACATGATAAAGAGTCTATATTTTTTCACATTTGCACATCCAATGTAAATTTGAAGTACCTTTATACCTTCTAGATAATTTTTCTGGGCTCAGGTACCAATGGTGAGTTAGCTGTCTCTAGCACGAGAGTATTAGCTAAACTTATCCTGGTGCTGGCATTCAGAAATGTAATCCTATACAGGAAGGGTTGTGAAATAATAAAAATAGAAAATAAGAGGTGGCTATTAAAATAGTGGATGATATCAAGGGGATAAAAATAATAAAGAAGAATATATTTTGAGGCAGGAAAATTTTAAGAAAATGTACTGTTTGATGTAATACGTTTTAATTTTAATTTGCAAACAAATGTTAAACTGATGAATAAGGATTGATTGAACAAAATACAAGATACACAGATGCTAGTGATTAGTTGAATTAAGGTAATACAAGTTGGAAATGATGACTATTATGAAATATACTGAGATTTAAATTGAAAGAGCAGGATGGAAAAATGATATAAAACAGATAATTATATTACAGTTAAAATGTGTGGGATGGATACCAACTAGATAAGAGTTTGAGACTCGGTGGAAATATGTTGGAAATTAATTCAAAATGTTGGAAACAGCCAAACAAATAGGAGGAGAGTTGGAGGAGACTATGCTGGTAATCAGCCAAACAATGGAGGGAGTCAAGGAGGAGACTATGCTGGAAATCAGCCCATAAAATGCTGGAAACAGCCAAACAAATAGGAGGAGAGTTGGAGGAGACTATGCTAGAAATCAGCCAAATAATGGAGAGAGTTAAGGAGGAGACTATGCTGGAAATCAGCCCACAAAATGCTGGAAACAGTCAAACAAATAGAAATCAACTAAATAGTTGGTGTTTTGGAGGGGATTAAGCTGAGAATTAATCAAACAGAACAAGCTGAACAGAACAAGATAGTTAAATATTAGAGGGAGATATAGTGGAAAATATATTAGAAATTGGAGTTAATAAAATATGCCTTTGAGAGAAATCTGTGTAATATGTAAACTGGGAGAAAAAAAAACTAAGGTAAACTGATTTGAGGATAAGGGTCAAAGGATTAAAATTAGATAAAATGTTGTTTTATAAAATATAATAAAAATGGAGTGGTATTGAATTGAAACTAAGAATAAATGGTGATAAAATTGTAAGGTAAACACTTAACAAGAGGTTAGAATATTGTAAAAATTATTTTGATATGACTTGTATAAAATATAAGGTAAAGAAGAATAAAGATATGTTTAGAATTGTTATGCAGATGTGAAAGTGAATTTGAAACTAATTTTGGATAGATATAATGGATTTATATAGATGAAAATGTTAAATTTGAGGTAAAATTGGTTTTTTCTTAAGTTTTGAGTTTCTTTTTTATCTTCTTTTTTTTCTTTTTTTGTTTATTTATAAAAGATGTAATGGAAATTGTGAATTGAGCTTGTGAAAGGAATGTAAGCATGATAACCATCTATGACCAGATCGAGATTTTTGCTCTTGGAAGTTATGTTTTTATGTTTAAATTTGAAAAAATAAATAAAAAATATTTACCAAAAAAAAAAAGAAAGAAAGAAAGAAATGTAATCCTATGAGCAGGAGGATGCTGATAAATTGTCATTCCATTGGAGAACATTTAAAGCACATCTTATTCATTTTCCCCCTGGCTAATATATAAGATGAAAGTATTTTAGGTAAAACTATAAAGTATGTAAGTTTTGCTTTTTAATTTTGTATTATCTCTCTCTCTCTCTCCCCGGGACCTCCCTTTTTCCCCCCTTAGTAACAGTGCAGAAAAAGTTAACCATTGCCTTCATCCAGGATCTAAATTATATTAATAAAAATTGTCACAGAATCAAGACAAAAAAAGATTATACTAACCTCTAATCTCTTCTCAAGTGATTCAATCCTGTCCTTTTTACTGGCCAAATTGGCTCGTGTGTAGCGACTCTGCCCGGGAAGGAACAGTACCTGGCTGTAACATTCTTCCCACACCTGATTATAAGCTTCACTTGAAAGCTCTCCATGGCTCATCCCTTGCTTCACAACTTCCATCTCTTGGGACAGAAAGTCTTCAGCCTGTTTGGAATAAAAAAGTTGTAGTAAACTTTTTGCAGCACTTCAACTATGACTTTGAGCCAGTTACTCTGAGATCAACTTCCTCACAGAGTGGTGGTTGTGGGGAAAAAATAGGAGAATACCATGACCATCATCTTAACCTCCTGAAAGAAATGGTAATATTTAAATTTAATTAAGTATATACATACAAAGAAAGTTTATAGGGGCATTTTTGCTATATGAAGAACATACAGGTTCTTCATTTATTCCTCAATTTATGACCACAATTGAGCTCAGAAATTTGTTAAGTGAATCACTGCAGTTCTTAAATTAGTAACAGGGTTGTTAAGTGAATCTGGTTTCCCCATTGACTTTGGTTGTTCAAAGGTTGCAAAAGGGGATCACATGACTCTGGGACACTGCACCACATAAATGGTGAGTCAGTTGTCAAGCACCCTAATGTAGATCACATGACCGTAGGGATGCTGCAATGGTCATAAGTGTGAAAAATGGTTGTAAGTCACATTTTTCAGGACTGTTTTAACTTCAGTCACTAAATGAACTGTTGTAAGTCGAGGACTATCTGTACTTTGGATAGGTCAATTACATGGTCAATAAATAAAAAAATAAAATTCATATTCCCCTTTCAGGTTTCCTGTCCTTAACATTTTGGCATCAATTTTCAGTGGCAACAGATCTAACCACTACTGAAAATTGATTTTTTTACAGTTCTATACATTTTGGCATCACAGATCAACATGAGCAGTGTCAGGATCTAGCTGGATGTACAAAAAGAACAATGAGAGGTGGCCCCACTGTATCCACATTATGGGATTACAAAGTCATGAAACTGACAGCTGGATATATTAGGCCTAACTGGGGTATTGCTTAACATAACTTAGATAAAAATCTGAAAGAATGTTTTAAGGAAAGACTTTATCTGAGATAACCAGAAAATTTGATCTGAGAAACTGAAATATAAGCTTTAATTCCCTTCCTTTCTTCATTATTTTCCCCTCAAACCAGGCACTCAACGTCTGCCCCAAATAAAAATCTAAAAGCCTTAAACTGCTTATTCTGGATTTCCAGAATTCCAGGATAATAAAATTAAGAGATGAAATACAAAGTGTTTGGAACTCACAAGTTAAGTTGACTCGATTTATGATTAGCCATATTAAATATGTTGTATTAATAATAAAATAGTTAGAAAGTTATTTGAAACATTAAGAAATCCAAATGATCAAGCAGCAACGTCTTAAATGTAAGCTAGGTGTGTATATATATATATGTAGGTATATATAATGAATCTTCGGTATAAGTTCTAAACATTCTCAGAAAAATATTTTACATCAGAAATGTGGAACAGGACTAACTTAAAAATCCAAAATTGTGCTCCAGTCTCTTAGTGAAATACATGTCCCAGGGACAATGGGAAGGAGCAGCTGCAAAACAATGAAAGAACAACAGTTGAGGTGAAATAAAATTTAGTTTCTGCTAATTCTGGCGACTTCATGCCATTCATCTTTGGATAAGGTGCAGGAGAGATAAAAAAAGCTGGAAGCTCCAGCTGGGTCAAGTGCAAGCATGATTTTATCAACCAGTACAACCTCAAGTCCTCAAATTTCAGGGAAGGTAAACATAGACCCATATAAAGGTGGTTCAACTGGAATCCTTTGATATTCCATTCCCTAATTTAGACAAAGTATCTAAGTATGAGCAAAGTATGAGGTAGCCGAAACAAAAACTACATTGGGAGGAAGAGTAGGCATAGGGAAGGTTGAAGGTTTCTGAAGAAACAAACTCTCCTCCAAACCCTGACACAAACCTCTGCTCAAGGCCCTGTGGATCAGATGTTTGGATGGATCAGACCTGAGAGCTATAGGTTATCCATTTCAGATTTTCAGTATCTGGTAATTGCAGAAGTGCATTGCTGTACTAGAGCAGAATATTGGGAGAATCTTCAAACAGACCCACATACCTAACATCACAGTGCACCCGATAGCCCGCTAATCAACTGCTTGGTTGCAGCAGCAGATTAATAAATTGTTTTTTCTAGCACAGGTGGTGAGGCCATACTTTTAAACACTAATGTGCATATTCAGCCTTAACCTCACCCTAGTACCAAAAGAATTGCCCAATCCATGCTTTATAGATGTTCTCAACTTGAAAGAATAAGGCTTTTTAAAGTACTTTTCTTGTAAAATAGTTATTGTAAGCAGACAAAACAGGGACCAAAATGATACCAATAAACATTATGTGACCTTCTTGAGCTCTTCTTTTGAAAACTTTTCATACGGATTGTGTTCAAGATATGCTATATGTTCTGTGCTACTGGTTCCCAGTCCTGGAACTTTCGTCTTCTTGCTGCCAGGGACCTCCCCATAAGGATGATGCACAAGATCAAAGTGAAGCATAGTGATCATCTCTTTCTTAATCAGTTCTTCACTCTTCTGTAAATCGGTTAGAGGTGGCTCTACATTTAAAGGTCTCAGAATTGTTTCATTTACCTAAAACAAACCAACAAAAAATCATTCACATTGTCACTTAGGAGCAACCTCTTATAATCTAAATTCTTCTTTTATTAGATTCATGTACTCTGCAACTGGAGCACAGATACACACATTTTAAGCTTACAAAAATTTAGAAATATTTTACTGTTTTTAAAAAGATTTTTAATCAACCAAAACTACATCAGTGGGTTTTCTGAAAGGGATGCTTTAAAAAGAAAGGATGATCCTAATGGGCCCTTTCTCCACCTCAGACTTCGTGACTAACTCATATACTACAACTTTTACCCTCTTACAGAAATAGGCACATATTTATTAGAATTAGGAATAACTTACTTCAGAAGGTCTTGGTAGATCTTTCTGAACAGCTTTGTGCATTCGCTTTAAAGCCTTTAGGCGCTCCATTTCTCGAATGGACTGGAAAGAGATTTCAGTAATTAGGGTGAGTTTTTGCAAGACTTCTCAGTAACACAGAGCACAGTGAAAAGCCAACAAAATCTGTTAGAGAAAACAGTGTCCTAAACCAAATATAGAGCAGGGAAATGTAGTGCTTCAAAGAATTTTTTTAAAAAGGAAATCCCATTCCACTATACAAAATCATTCTTCCATAAAGCGGAACAATTTGTTCCAGACTTTTTTAAAAAAAAATTACCCTGCCTTTTTTTCAAATACAATTCAAAGCAGCAAATATAACAGTACTTACTCCTTCTCCTATTTTCCCCACAACAACCCTGTGAGGTGAGTTGAGCTGAGAGTAGCCCAGCTGGTTTTTCATGCCTAAAGCAGGATTACAACTCACAGCCTCCTGGTTTCTAGGCCAGCAAATAAAAGTTACCGTTATTATAGGAAATCTACATTGCCAAATCCAAATTGCAACTGACAGGACCCAGCAGAAGAAACAACCTCACTACCCTACTGTCTGTGTTTATACACAATACTTAGTATCAGTCTCTGTATTGTCCCAATTCCAAAAGTATGGTGCAGAAAGTCGCTAACTGAACAGTTTCCCATTCTAAAATGAATATATCTCCAAGTACTGTCACATTTTTTTAACTGCCTTTCTGTGAACCAGTAATTTAGCAGTTGTTTTTTCACTGATAATGAAGGAATGTGTAAGTGGTTTACATAACTGTCTCCTAAATATTTATTGGTTTAGGAAGTGATCATTATCTTAGTCAGATACTTACCCATGATTTACACAAAAATTTCCTGGGATTGCATAATACAGTGAGTCAAAGTCTAACCACAATGGTGGAATTCATGCAGTGTGCAAGCTTAAGATATAGTTAGGTATAACTGTAACGCCAGAGAGATGCCTGAATATAGGCAAAGAATCTTAATTTAAAAATTATCTTCAACCACAGGATAATAACTCAAATGATCCATTTATACCTAACGACTGAAGAACTACAAAGCTCAACCTGCCATGTTCTTCTAACAGAGAATCAGAAGTCTAAGGGATCTTGCCTGTTGAATGTTTTCTGAAGGATCCTTGTCTGAATTCCATTCTTATGTTTCCGTGCCCCAGGCAGAGATCTGATACTTTGACCTCTAATATTTTTAATTGCATTTTTTGCAATTTATCATTTTAACAAAGTTTGCACTTATTTGTCACTAGCTCTGTGAGAGAATATTCCTTAGAAGCAGGACATATAATCTAATAATCATAATACCTGGGAAGATATATTATTTATTTTTATTTATTTATTTATTATATTTCTATACCGCCTTTCTCCCGTAGGACTCAAGGCGGTGTACAGTCAAGAAAAATATAGACACACAAACATCATAAAATTGCTAATTAAAATTGTTACTTAGTTTGGTCAATTAAATAAAACGCAGAATTAGATAACATTTAAAAAATCATTCGCATGTTTGTATGTTTAGCCCTGCCTGTTGGAACATCAGGGTCTTGAGGGCACGGCGGAAAGCACGGAGATCAGGGATATTCCGTATCTCCGGGGGCAGTTCATTCCAAAGGGTCGGAGCCCCCACAGAGAAGGCTCTCCCCCTGGGAGTCGCCAGTCGACATAATTTGACTGACGGTACCCTGAGTAGTCCCTCCCTGTGAGAACGAACTGGTTAAGCATCCCTTTGTTCTATGATGACAAATTAATTGCGGCCAACTCCTCTTTTATACATTTTACCTGTTTGCGAGCATCTGCATCAGCTGCATCTTCTATGTATGTATCATCTGCATTATGATCGTCAAGCTCCTTCTCTGCATTTTCTGGTAGAACAATTTCAAAGTCGTTCTTTGGAGCAGGAAGACCCATCAATCCTAGGCGCAAATTTTCACGGGATTCTCTTTCCTACAAAATGTTAAAAGAATTTAATAAAGGCAATACAAGAAAAAAAATTGTTTTCCTAAAGTTAAATATGCTTTTTTCTCTGGAAGAATGGTTGAAATCATTTTCAGGTTTCAGATCTCTATATAAAAATGGCAAAAAATTATGAAAAATTTACAATACAATTCACTTCTAACCTAAACAAACCACATTTTACAATATCTTTTTTTGGTTTTTTTCCCCCTCTATTTTTACAAGTTACTCAAGGCAGCGAACATATACAATACTCCTTCCTCCTCCTGTTTTCTCTACAACAACCGCTCTGTGAGGTGGATTGGTCTGAGAATGACTCCCCCAAAGTCACTCAGCAGGTTTGTATGGCTAATGTGGGACTTGAACTCATGGTCTCCTATCTTGGTGCCTTAACCACTAGACCAAACTAGCTCTGTTTGTTCAGTTTGTTCTCAGTTCTCCCTTACAACAAAGAAGTGGCAAATCAGCAGTTAAAGTGTGGCACGTAAAAATTCCTACCAAGTGCTAAGTATTGCAAAGTTTAAAATAAGATGTTTATTCTTTTTCAGTCACAATTTCTTGTAACATTATTAGATTCCTAACAACCTCTTTTAATCTTTTTCCTTCCACAGATGTTTATGAATCATAACCCCAGCTTGCAAAAGTCAATGATAATCATTTCCCAATCAATCCTAAAGTCAGAGAGAGCACCGGGAAATCACTGAGATGCTTCCATCTCTATCTCTGATCACCACAGTTGCAATAAACAATGATGGATCATGTCATTTTTGTTGTACTTAACTGAAAACCTTAGAATTAGTCTTGGCTGAATTTTATGATGAGACCTTCAGTGCTCTTTTCCTTCTTCTGAAGGAGACTTCAAATTTTATTCTCATTTTCTGGACAGTTAAATTATCGCACCAAAAATGTCATTTGCAAATTATCTTGCAAGGATCTGTTAAGAATCCTTTCCACAAATTCATTTAAATACTGTAATTCATACAATTTCTGCAGCATAGCATGGCAAAGCAAAGATGAAGCATTGAAGTCTTCAAGAAAAATTGTGAATTCTTGGGCACAGGCTTCCAACCAGCTATGAATCCCAGGATGATCTTCATTACACACAGGAAAACTAAAAGTATCTTCCCTTCTTCCCCTAGAGCATGTGGCCATTCTGGGACTAGGCTTGCAATTTTTCAGAAGCACATCATCCAGAATAAGAACTCAGATGTGATGTTTCAAATAGGAATTGTACTTCAAATACAGCAATCCAAAATTGAGAAAGAATTCAAAAAATTAAAATTAAGCTTTATTTATAGAATAAAATCCTCAGTTGATGTTCCAGTGCTCTGTTTTGGGGACCATTTTCTTAAAGTAGATGTGATTATAGAAAAAGCTTTCCAACTCTGCAAAGTCACTAGGGCCTTATTACTTAATTCAAGAGTCTTGAATAATTTTGAAAATTATTTCAACAATGTACTAAATTGCTCTTCTATGGCTTTTATCCTCCAATTAGTACTTTATAACCTTCAGAAATTTCTTGTCACTTGATCACAAGCAGTTTTTAAGCCCGCCTCTCAAACTGACATGGATTTGCATAAAAGAGTGCTAAAGTTCAACCAAAAGAAAAGTTATCAAGCGATCCTCTAAGTTGCTAATAAAACCTCAGATCCTTCCATGTACTCTGCTATTCTTTTTTCTCCCAAGAGATAGGAAAAACATAATCACATTATATGTACACCTTAGATGTATAAAAACTTTAAAACTTTCCTCCAAATTTCTGATATAAAAGCACCTAAGTAGCAAAGCTGGAGATAGAAGTGTTTTAACATTCCCTATGCTGTTTAGCTCACCAATGCAATTAACTTTTTAGGTAATTGAGTTTGCTAAAGGTACCTATATTTTATCTTTAGTGAGGAAGAAAAGTAGAATATACATTCTCCCAATATCACTACTTTATTTTACTATATTTTAGTAAAAACAAAAGGAAAATGGACTCTATATAGCATTCTATATATCCTTTCCTGCAAAACTACTGAGTGCCAGGTTCTGGATAACTCCTAAAGCTAATTTATTTATTTATTTATTTATTTATTTTTGAATTTGTATACCGCCCTTCTCCCTGAGGACTCAGGGCGGTGAACAGCCAAGTAAAAACATCAAATACAAATATTAAAATACAGTTAAAATATACATATATAAATTTGGCCCCATTGATTAAAAACAATAAACAAAACACTTAAAAACACTTAAAAAAATTAGGCCAGCCCGGCTTGCTGGAAAAGGAAGGTTTTAAGGGCACGGCGGAAGGCACGGAGGTCTTGGATTCTCCTTATCTCTGGAGGCAATTGATTCCAGAGGGCAGGTAATGGGTAGGTAATGCCCTGTATATAGTCATTTTATGTGCAAAGATCCATGAATTCAATTTCCAGAGGAGGTTTTGAACTCCACAGAATAAGATTTGAAGATTCCTAATGTGGATAAATCCAGTCATGTACTGACTCTTGGTGGTTAATACTACTGCTTTAAAAGATATGCACTGCATCTGTCCTGCTATGAAGTTTCAAACTAATCCTATTGGACTTACAATTTTGTGAGCTTCATCTAATGAAATACGGTATTACATTAGAAATAATATATCACATGTTATGTATAGTAAGATATTTTCTTACCTACCATATGTTTTGTATAGGATGGATCACTATAATCTGCCATCCCCTCCTCAGGATTAATATTTAGCTTATCACGCAGTGGAGTTCTGCCTGGTGTCACTCCTATCACTGGCTTGGGAGTCATTCCACTATGAGGAGTCAGACTTTCAGCTCCATGAGTAGGAGTCCTACAAAAATACAAAATTGGTAGAATGCATCAGTTCTCAGGCAGTGTCTCAGGCACTTAAATATATTCATCATAGCACTTGCTAATATGACTGTGTTTTAGGTTTTGAATCAGCAGTTAACAAAACTACAAGAGATGGCAAAAAGGAATTTTGTTTGATGAACAAAGTAGACGAGACTGGACAGACATAGTAAACTAGAAGATTTGGGAGGAAAAAAACAGCAGTTCTATCTTGGGCATATCAGAACAGTCCCCTGTTCACCAATCAATAAGCCTGTTATTCCTCACACAACAACTTCTCTGAATTAAAATCTTCATCTTTAAAAAAATCTTGAATCTCAAGAAACCAATGTACAGCCTTTTCAAAAATATATCTCTGATAATTTTATCTTGAATGGTTGAACATAGATAGGCACTTGTTGAATTTGGTATTTCTGTGGACTCTGCATATTTCTCTGACTTGCTGATGCTGAGTTTTCACTCAGATTGAATTTGAAAATAAAAACTTCAATTTTGTTTTGCATTAGGAGTTTTCTGTACGTGCATGAATACTGCATATTTTTGAACTTGGTTGCCACTGATTTTCAGAGTGCATTTAAATGCAGATTTTGCTACTTTATACAGAATGGTGCCTGTAAATGTAGTAGTGTCTGTTTTTGCTACTATTTATTCATACAGCTTTTCTTTTCTTTTGTTTGGCTATAAGGGAAACAAAAATGTCTAATAATAATAATTACAATAAAGTACTGTAATAATAGTAAACCAGGCACGGTCCCAATTGTTTCTGGCACACTATACCAAAAATTTTGGACACCCCTGCACACTGACAAAATTTCCATCTATCAAATACAAAAGGCCACCCTGCTTGTTGTGTATATAGTAGTAATAATAGTAGTAATATTAATAATAATAAAGCAGGAATTGTACTGATAAACAGGATTCCTGTTCTTTTTCGAACTTGTTTAACACATATATTACATTTAAATTGTCACTAGGAGTCAAAACCAGCATAAAAATTAGCCAAGGCTAATTCTTGATATTTCAAAATATTTTTGAAAACATTAAAAAAAAAATCTATGAACTACTCACTCTTATAGCTTTGAAGTAAGAAAAAAAAAAACCCACAAAGGACAAGTAATTCTTTTCAGGGTCTCATCAAATCTATGCATGCAACCTCAATATATTTTGAGCAGAATTCAGAATATTAGCATTATCTCAAATTTTGTTTTATCATAATGCAGCCAATTTAGAATGTTCTAAAGAAGCATTGCAGGAAGGTTCTTCTGTTCTTACCTAAAACACATTTTTGTGTTTCGCATATACCTGTATAACTGTGCCTTTATTTTCTTTGTAAAGATCCTGGAGTACAACTCTATATATGAAAAGTACCACTTACTGCAGGATGCTTCAGTGATGTAGTTCAATATATTGAACCACAACTATTTTTCCGTTCAAATTTCCTCTGTGTAAATGAGCCCTATTTGTTATGAAGTTTCTGGGAATTGTTTTAGGAATCAACCTAATCATCCAAACAGAAAATGTCCCTCATTTTTTTTGCAGAAAAATCTAAAATGCCCTTTTCAACAACTCAAAAATCTAATTTACCTGAAGGGAGTGGAAAGCACAGTATTTGGTGTCTGAACAACTTGTCTCTGAGGTGTTATTCCAGAGAAATCACTTTCATGTAAGGGTGTATTAAGACCTCCTTTCAAGGGAGTATCAACATTTGTAAGTGCCATTAAATTCTGAGCTTCCTGTAGGGAAGACAAAGTACATAATAAACATTTTTCAAAATCACCAAACAATTACAACAATTGTAAAACAATAACAATTATGAATCACCATATACATATGCAGAATTACCAACAGATATCCAACGTCTCTTAACAAGCAATTAGTCTTTACCACCACCATCTGAATGTTTTAAATTAGAGTTCATTTTGGTTACAAAAACTCTTTTTTAACGTTAATGTCAGGTATGCTTCCTTCAGTATCCAGGAAAGAAAACCCCAAACTCAAGCATTTTGAAGAATCTGGTACTTTTACTGAATATGAAAAGATTAACATCCCAGTGAAAAGCTGGAAGTGATCAAAACGCGTGAAATGCATCTACTAAGCTTCTTCCCCCCCTCGTGTTTATAGTTTCTCAGCCAATCTAAAGGTCTTCCAAAGGTCAGGTGGCAACACGTCTGGCAGCGTCATCCATCAGGAATGTCAAGACAGTTGGTCGGCCATCCCCTTCTGAAATTTAGTTTCGATTCCCACGAAGTCCCCTCCTACAAAGACAAACCCCCTCCTGCTCTCTTCCCCCCTTTGCTCCATACCTAATCCCTCCCCATTTCTTATGGCAGCTAAAGCAGGAAAGCTGATGCTGACATTCGGCCCCTCTTGCAGAAGAGACGTTAGTCCTAATTAAAAGGAAAAAGAGAAAGAGAAACAGAATATATACAATGATCAAGGTTTATCAGGGTATTTGGCATAGAACTGTTGTACTTTCTTGGGAGCTCGGACATCCCGTTTATTTACCCATTCAGCCTGAGATATTGGAAAATGTTTCCAGGCAATCAGATATTGGACTTTACCATGGTGTTTTCTAGAGTCCAAGATTTCCTTAACCTCAAAATGTTGCTCCCCTTCTACGAGGATGGGAATTGGAGGGTTGCTATGATCAACCCTTAGGGGAGATGAGTGTTCAGGTTTCAATAAACTAACATGAAATACAGGATGTATTCGTCTCAAGGTTTTTGGTAATTCTAATTCAACTGTCACTGGATTTATCAGTCTGATCACACGGAATGGTCCTACATACTTAGGCCCCAGCTTTTTAGACCTCTGGGTGGTTTGTAAGTATTTGGTAGACAAATAAACTTTATCCCCCACTTTGTAAATGTGAGCTGGGGACCTTTTCTTATCGGCTTGTGCCTTATGAGCTCGGTGTGCCTCATCTAATGCCTTCCGAGTCACTGTCCAGGTGCTCCTTAATTGTTCTATCCAATCTATCAAAGAGGGATTTTGGGGATCATCTTGAGGTAACTCGGGAATGGGTACAAAATCCTGGCCCGATGCAACCTTAAAAGGGGTGAATCCGGTGCTACTATGCACAGAATTGTTATACGCCACTTCTGCAAATGGCAACAAGTCTACCCAATTGTCCTGTTGGTAATTCACGTAACATCTAAGGTATTGTTCAAGTACCCCATTGGTTCTTTCACAAGCACCATTTGTCTGAGGGTGGTGACTGGAACTCAACCCCTGTGCGGAGCCTATCAATCTTAAAAATTCTCTCCAGAAACTGGAAGTAAATTGCACACCCCTATCAGAAATTATTCTTTTCGGAGACCCATGTAGTCGGTAAATCTGCCGAATAAATAACTTTGCGAGGGTTTTTGCTGAAGGGATCTTTGAGCAAGGTATGAAATGTACTTGTTTAGAAAACAAATCAGTTACTACCCAAATGACAGTGCAGCCCTCACTGTCGGGTAAGTCCACCACAAAATCCATAGATATTTCCTTCCATGGGGCGTTCGGTCTAGCCACACTTTGCAGTAATCCAGGGGATTTTCCTGGAGGTCTTTTAGCCGAGGCACATACTGGACAGCTAGCCACATAAGTCTGTATGTCCTTTTTTAGTGCAGGCCACCAAAACTGTCTCTTAACAAGATGTAAAGTTTTGACAAACGCAAAGTGTCCTGCGGCTTTGGCATCATGCGCATATTTCAATACGGTTGGTCTTAATGTGGTCGGAACATACAATTTCGATCCAACCCAAGCTAGTCCATCGCGAAGTGTGCATTCATTCGAGTGGAGTTTAAACCACTCGTCAGCTTTTAGTGCTTCTCGTAACTTTTCGAGTAAATCCCCTGAGAGTTCTGGATCGGTTTTACTCTGCGCTCTGGTAGTGACAGGTGTTGCCAATTGCGTTAAGGGGATCATTGGTTGAACCAGTTCCTTCTTTATGCTGTTGTACTGTGGCAATCTGGAAAGTGCGTCTGCCATGAAATTTTTTCCCCCAGGAAGGTAACATAAAGTGAAATTGAAACATTTGAAATGTTGGGCCCAGCGTGCCTGTTTGGGTGACAATTTGCGTGGTGTTTTTAATGCTTCTAGATTCTTATGGTCAGTCCACACCTCGAAAGGATGTTTTGCCCCCTCCAAAAATTGTCTCCATGTTAACAGCGCCCATCTAACTGCAAACGCTTCCTTCTCCCATATGGCCCATCTCCTTTCTGTTTCAGATAGTTTACAGGATGTGTAAGCACAGGGTTGTAATATTCCATTCTCATTCTTTTGCAAGAGTATCGCTCCTACGGCAACGTCGCTAGCATCCGCTTGTATTACAAAAGGTTGTTCTATGTCGGGGTGTTTGAGCACAGGTTCAGCTGCAAACAGCCGTTTCAGTTTTTCGAAAGCGGCCTGACAGTCCATAGTCCATTCTAGTGGTTTCGAGGGTTTGGGTTTTATTTCCCCTTTTGTTTTGAGCAAGTTTGTAATTGGCAGTGCGATTTTTGCGAAAGAGGGGATAAATTGTCTATAAAAGTTAGCAAACCCTAAGAAACTCTGTAACTGTTTACGGGTGCGTGGTGCGGCCCATTCCATTACTGCCCGGACCTTTTCCGGGTCCATCTCTATTCCCTCATGCGATATACGATATCCAAGATAGTCGATTTTGTCTTGATGGAATTCACATTTAGAAAGTTTGGCATAGAGTTCAGCTGCTCTGAGTTTATTCAAGACCGCTCGAACCAATCTTATATGGTCGGCCATGTTGTCAGAATAAATTAGAATATCGTCCAAATAGACCAACACCCCCTTATATAGATGCTCATGCAACACTTCGTTGATCAACTGCATGAATACGGCCGGGGCCCCCTGTAGTCCAAAAGGGAGTACTCTAAATTGGAAACACCCCAGTGGGCAATTAAATGCTGTCTTCCATTCATCTCCCTCTTTTATTCTCACTCGGTAGTATGCCTCTCTTAAATCAAGTTTGGTAAAAAATTTTCCCTTTCCTAAATGGGCCAACATGTCCTTTCATAAGTGGGAGGGGATAGACATTTTCCACGCAAATGGCGTTCATGTTTCTATAATCAACAACTAATCTGAAGGATCCATCTTTCTTTTCGCGGAACATTACTGGCGCTGCTACCTTGGGTTTGGCTCGTTCGATAAATCCCCGTTCTAAGTTTTTGTCAATAAAATTCCGCAATTCCTCCAATTCTCGAGGTGTCATGGGGTATATTTTTGGTTTGGGAAGCTTCACCCCTGGGAGTATTTCAATGGTGCAGTCAGTGGCCCTGTGGGGAGGCAGATTATCAGAAGCTTTTTCACTAAACACTTCCTTGAGGTCCCAATATTCCTTCGGAATTTTCTCTTCTCCCTCAATATAGTTAATGGCTACTGCGGCCCCTTCTGGTCTTATGTCGTCCCTTAGGGAGGGGCCTTCCTTTTCCGGAGGTGGTTCTGCCGTACGGATGCGCAGGACCCCCGTTTTCCAATTTACTCGTGGGTTCCATTTTCGAAGCCAGGGCAGTCCTAGAATTAGGGGCCTTTCCATGCCAGGGGCTACAATAAAGCTGAGCTTTTCTATGTGATTCCCCAACTGTAGTTCGAGGGGTTCGGTCATAAAACTAGCTGGCCCCCCCCTGCAATCGACCCATCTAATTGACAAAATGCAATGGGTCTTTTTAAAGTTTTCAGTCTCAGTCCCATTTCCTCCACTACTTTGGGGCTAATTATGCACCTAGTGCACCCCGAGTCCAACAGGGCTAACAATTGCGCGTGAGTTCCTGTGGAGGGCACCCTTACTTCTACGGGGATGAGTAAGGGTTCTTCCGTGTGACTCACCCGTTCATCGGTGTCCGAGTCGGAGTCTGTCTCGCTGTCGTCATCGTTGGTCGGAGTTCCCAACTCACGCTGGTTCCGGGGAGTGAACTCAACGACTTCTCCTTTCAGGGCGGTGCCGCGGGTTTTGGCGGGTATTTTATCGCTTTTCTTTTGGCTGGCCCCGGTGGCTTTTGGCGGTGGTTTGGAGAAACATTCGGCCGCCCGGTGACCCTCCTTCCCACATTTGAAACAGGTGAAGGGCTTTGACTTGGGTTTGAATTCGGTCTTCCCGCCAGTCATCTTGGCCGCCCCCTTACGGTAGAGAGAGGATGACTGGTCCCCCATCCGCCTTCCTCGGAGTTCGCTCCGTTTCAGCTCGATCTCCACATCCTCAGCTACTATGTACCATCTATCCAAATCATCGGGGACCCCCATGCTCCTGCAATCTCGATATATCTCATCATTCAATCCATCTTTGAAACTCTCCAAAAGCGCCATTTCTGACCAGCCTGTCATATAAGGTGCCAGTTCACGAAACTCTTGGATATACTCTGCCACCGGCCTCCGGCCCTGCTGAATGCTCTTCATTCTGAGTCTCGCCTTTCGTTCAGCTAAATGGTCTTCAAAACGTCTTCTAAGGGCCCTCATGAACTGGTTGTAATTTCTCAGCAGGAGGGAGTTGTTATTGTGGAGAACTACCATCCACTCAGCCGCCACTCCCTCTAGGGCATTCGCAACGCTTCTGACTTTAGCCGCATCTGTTTCGTAGTCCTCCCCCCAATCCTGCATGTGGTTCCACACTTGGGTCAGGAAAAATCCCAAGGTTTTAGGATTTCCATCAAACTTTCCAGGAAGGGGGGGGATTTTTGGCTTTTTACGTCTGCGGGGGGGGGGGGGGGGCCTGCAGGGCTGGGGTTCTCTGGCCGGCTGCATCTCTTCCTCGAGCTGCCGAAGCCTGGGATGTTCCCTCCTCAAACTCTTCCTCTCCCCCGCAGGCTGTCTCTTCTGCCTCCCCCCTGGGGTCTGCTTCCCCCTTCTCCACAGGAGTTTCAAAAGACTCACGGTTTTTTCTGCTTTCTTCCACATCACGGATAAGCTGCAAGGCTTGATCTATCATGAGACGTTCCTTCTGCTGTTGCATCCACACTGCCTCCCTTTTTCGGGGTCTGGAAGTCGTCACTCCCCGGGGATTGTCCCCCCAGTCCGGCAGTCTGCCCACACCTTTGGACCATCTAGCTTCCTCCGGTTCCAAACGGAGTTTTTCCAGCCATTCTGCAGTTTCTCTTTCCGACTGGAGGGCGGTTGAACTCGCTGCCCCCATCTTCCCTTCGTCATCACTCCCTCGATCTGACATACTTTGGATTTTCAGTCCCCTCGGGTTTTGTCCGGGATGACTGAGATGACTTCCAGCTTAATGTCAGGTATGCTTCCTTCAGTATCCAGGAAAGAAAACCCCAAACTCAAGCATTTTGAAGAATCTGGTACTTTTACTGAATATGAAAAGATTAACATCCCAGTGAAAAGCTGGAAGTGATCAAAACGCGCGAAATGCATCTACTAAGCTTCTTCCCCCCCTCGTGTTTATAGTTTCTCAGCCAATCTAAAGGTCTTCCAAAGGTCAGGTGGCAACACGTCTGGCAGCGTCATCCATCAGGAATGTCAAGACAGTTGGTCGGCCATCCCCTTCTGAAATTTAGTTTCGATTCCCACGAAGTCCCCTCCTACAAAGACAAACCCCCTCCTGCTCTCTTCCCCCCCTTTGCTCCATACCTAATCCCTCCCCATTTCTTATGGCAGCTAAAGCAGGAAAGCTGATGCTGACAGTTATACTGGAACTGCTTCTGCTTTTATTTTCTTCTGCCCCCCCCCCCCCTTGGATAGATTTGGGATGTCCCTACTCCTCAAAAGAAGGACATATCAAAACTTTTTCCACCAAGCCACAATTATTATCTCTCTCTATACAGAACTCAAATAAATATGTAAAAATTATCTGCTGGTATTTAGCCCGTCCCCGTTTTTACTCCATGGCAGACAGAATTGTAGTAATGGAAGCTGCAGGACAATTTGTAAGTGAATCAGTGTCTGTTTAAGCATTACCTGTAGGATCCTGTCCTGTGCAGCAGGTGTTTTAGGTGTTCGAAGGGCAATACTGTTGTTGGTTACATTGTATTCTGATAAGAGCGTGCTGGAAGCAGAATTTGTAATTCCAGATTCTTCTGCTGTTTGACGGGCAATCTCACTTGCTTGACCAACTTTAACTACTTCCTCAAGTTCTGTATCTGAAATCTTAAATAAAGAGCAAATGAAATAAGAAACAATATTGCAGGTTTGTAATATATAGACATTGCAACAGTTAGTAACAATTCCAACTCAGAAAAAATCGTGTTATGAAAGAAGACAGTGCTTGTGATGCATATTCCACCTAGAGGCAATGAACAAAATCCTCAACTGGTTAGTCATGGATGATTCCTTTTTTCATATAGCTAATGCAGATGAGGTACTTGTCCCAGTTAATCTTTAAGACTGCACTGTAAACCACAAAATATATTTAACAAATTTTAAACTAAGTATAGTAAAAGTCCAAGGTCCTTAACGAACAGAATATAGAAAGTCATGCGTATGCCTTGCCACTTTGCCTCATCACCTATGAATGCAACTACTATTCATTTAAAAATGTTAAGAATACCTTCTCTCACCACATGGTAACCCTCTCTCAGCAACCTGGAACAGTGATATTGAGTGCCAATAAATAAATGCAGAATATTTCTCAGAAGGAGAAAACTTTTGATGAGATGTGAAAAAAGGAACTATAAAATGAGTCCATGGCAATAAGAAAAATGAAGGGGAAAGGTTTGTCTAATGACCTGAAGGACAAAATGGTGTTAGCTAAGCTAACCAGATCACCTGTCTTCCTATCACTTTTCCTGATCTCTTACGAGTACAGCCATAATGATGCTTAGAAGGTAAACCATGGCATTATCAAAGAAAGGATAATTGGAAGTGAGGAAAACTATGGGAAACAAGGCCAAAACAGATAACACTTAAAAATAAAAAAATAAACAGTAACATTTATTCTAATACACAATCTCTTATCTATGTATTACTAAAATTCTTGTCATTCCTTTAACTGGGAGAAATGATACTTTAAAAGGCAACAATTTTTGAACCAAGTTATCTCAAATGGGCTAACCTATGGAAGTTAGCCCATTTGAGATATCTAGGACCTATGACTTCTGAGGGAATGAAATTTGGGAAAGTTGTGGCTTCTTCAGTGCTACTGTGTGCTGCTTCTTCATTTTCAATGTTCCATGATAGTTTCCCAGCCAATCTTAAAATCCCTCTCTTCCCCACCCAGCAGTAGTCACTTATTTGCCTCTGCTGGGAAGGGGAGATTCCCAATACTCCTTGCCAGATTCCCACAAAGAAACTCAATGGGAAAGCTGGTGGGAAGCTAGAATCACACCTACTCCCACTGCTTTTTTGCTAGCAGTTGATCATACTGTTTCTTTGTTTGGTAAGGAAATCTCTGAAACGTTAACCCAAGAGGAAATGGGTTGTCTAGTTCTTAATAAAACCATTGCCTTTATAGTTCTACCTTCATTATCTCACTACCTCTGACCCTATGGATTACACACACTGAGAACAAAGAGAGAGACAGAATGATTTGCATAAACTGATATAAGGAACTGCATCACAACTTATATTTGTTATTACAGACTCCAATACTAAATGAAACACAATTTGTGCTTCTACTGATGAACGTTTCCATTATTAAACAAACTTGGAAGACATTTCTTTTTCATACCAACAGAAGACCCACCAGCGATAATAATAAGCAATGTACCTGAGGAGCTGGAAGCACCAGTTTACTTCTTTTTTTAGTAAATTCTGAAACACCACTAGTCTGAAGAATTGCTGACGGTAAATCAGATTCTTTTTTCCGTTTCAGCTGTTGCTTATCTTTTTTTCGCTCTCTTCCTTCTTTTTCCCTAAAAAAGTAAAAAAAAGTAAATTAAATACAAGGGTTTTGCAAAGATCATCTGGCATGCTTCAGAACTGGATAGGAAAGAGATGAAATTTATAGAAAGATTGTTGTTCATAGGAGCTATCATCTTCCAAATTTCAATGAATCCAGCTGTTTGCAAATCCTTTTACAGTCTTGGTTATTAGCATGTATTATGCTTTACTTTTCATCAAAATGAAATGAGACCAATATCACATGACCCTAATGACAGCAATCCTGGATATGTCCCAGTTGCTGGTGTAATTTCAGGACCAAGCGGGTCAAATGGGAAGAGATGGGGAGTCTCAGGCAAAGAAACTGGCAGAAGTGGATGTGCAAGTGCCATAGGCAGGCACTACTAAGTGCAGGTGGGCAAAAAAGCAGTGAGGGTGGGAGCAGGAGCAACTTCCAACTTTCTGTTAGCTTCCCTGTTGACTTTGTTTGTGGAAAGCAAGTAGGAAATATTGAAAAAAGCAATCATGTGTCTGTGGCTCACTGCAACATTGTAACTGCAGGTGGGCACCAAGCACCTGGACTGAAACAACTAGAATTCTGAGGACAGGTTGTAAGCTCCCCTCATTCACTATCACTGTAACTTTGACATGCTGCTCACTGCTGATGCTGCTCTAAAGATAGGGGGAAAGGGAGAGAGTGGAAGAAGAGGGAGAAGAGAAGGCAAATCAGCACTGGGTAACTAAGCAGGAGCAAAAGGGAGATGACAGGAACAGTATAGAAGTGTGTAAAAGAGAGAGGAGGGGTGAGTTTGAGAGGGAGAAGAGCAGAAAAAAAGTGGAGTGAAGAGAGAGGGAGACCAGACAAAGAGAAAAGACAGGGGAGGAAAAGAAAAGGACAAAGAACATGCTTTGTTGTTCTTTTTCTCTGGGGCTCCTTCCTGCTCTACCCTGCCCTGCCTTTCCTGCCATCCGGTGGTACACACACCACTGTTTTTGACCAGTTGCACAAGTGGAGGTTTAATGTGCTTAGATTTTGGCAGGGAGGTTTTCAGCACCAGAGCCAGGAGGCAGCCAGAATGGGGAGGCAGCAGTAAAATAAGGAGCATGGGGTGCCTTAGGGTCCTTGGAGGCCCAGGACAGACCATGCACAAATGCCTCTCCACTGTAGAAAGCACTGACTTCCTGGCAAAGCAGTAGAGAAGATTATAAATGGTGATCATATAATTGCAATTGGTTTTAAGTGTGAACTGGTTCCCAAGTGCTCAAATTGCAATCATGTGACCATGGGGAGGCAGGTACACCATTTGGAAGTGCTTTATTTACAGCACCCTTTTCAAGGCTATCCTAACTTTAAATTATTGTTAAGCGACCAGTCACAAGTCAAGGACTAGCTGTATATTATTATTTTATTTATAATCTGCATCTGAAATATGTTGTTGCCATTTTTTTCAGGAAGATTTAGCACTGATAAATGTTAAGACGGTTAAAATTGTAAGATCAAAACTATTTTCTTCAAAAGAATAATTTATTATTTTAGAGCTGCCACAAACTGGAGCACAAATAGAGGGCAGCCCTTTCAGATATTTTTTGAGGAAGATGTACAAAATATGGTTACGCTATATATACAAGAAGATAAAAATGAGTGATTAACCCTAAAAAAATCCAGCATAAGTGCTTTATTATTGCTTTTAAATTATAGGGATTAGTAAATGCAAGGGGCTAGAAATAGTTTTAAAATAGTCACAGAAAAAGTTTTATTCAGTGTCTATATGCCAAAATATATGATATTCCCATTCTTCTGAAATCCTCATGTTTTCCTAAACAATTAGAAACCCTCAGGAGATAAATAGCTGCTCTTGTTGTGTATGAAGAGAAACATTTACAACTTGAACCAACATCAATGTTGTGGGGGCCTCAGACAGAATTTGATATATCACAAGATTTTGCTCCATGTACTACTTTTTTTTTTTTTTTTTAATTTGATTTATATGCCACCCTTCTCCGGAGACTCAGGGTGGCTTACAATGCGTTAAGCAATACTTTAATACTTTAATACTTTAATCCAAATTCTACTTACGATCTCAGTTCCCCATCCAAATCTTGTTGTCTTAGTTTCCTAAAATCTGCATCCAGTGCCTGATAGTTTTCTTCTGATGTATCGTAAAAACCAGGAGCAGGTTTCTTTTCAAATGGGATTTCAGCATTGTAATCTACTCCTCTTTTCTTTTTCCTTTTTTTCTGGATCTCAATTCCTGCAGCTCGGAGTTCTCTCCTTTTTTGTAGAGCAGCAAGACGCCTGAGGAGTAAAATCAAGTTTGAAGTGAATGTTAAAGGCTATATAACTGTGATGGCAAACCTGTGGCACGCATGCCAGAAGTGGCACAGAGCCCTCTCTGTGAGCATATGCGCTGTCACCAGCTGCCGGGGCGAACACAGCAGAGAACAGCTGGCCGGTGCTCATGCACGCTGGACCAGCTGTCCAGCGCGCATGTGCGCACCTGAACCTGGAAGAGCAGCTGGCTGACGCGCGCATGCGCACCGGCCACCTGCTCTTTTCCAGGTTCTGGCACGCACATGCACGCTCCAGTTTCAGCACTCAGTGCCAAAAAGGTTAACCATCACTTCTATATAATATATAGACCACTTTTGTTGAAGGCAACAAAATATCCATACTTTTTTTTTTAAAAAAAAACCCTTTCAATTGTTGAATTTTAAAAGTAAAAAAAAACTTGTGTGAAGTAAGACTTATTAAAAACTCTAGGTTTAAATGCAATATTTCAAATATATGATTGGTTCTACTAATTTTATCACAATTATGCGTGAAATTCTGCACAATTATGCAGAAAGAGAATGAATCAGATCAAAGAAGGGGATGGAGTCTATCATCTAGATCAGGGCTGTCCAACTTGTGGCCCGCAGGCCGGATGCGTCACACCCGGTTTAGTGAAGGGGGAAAAAGTACTGATACGTCACGTGACCCTGCTGTGACGCTGCGAGTTTGACAGCCCTGATCTAGATTCAAATGTATTAGGAGCTGCAAGGAGTTAGCCTTAGAACCCATCAAATAGATTTGCTATGCATACAAAACAAATCCTGAAAAACTCAAGCTATCTATGCCAAACTGGAGCATGAAAACTTTGTTATGATTTAAGATTACATCTTAAATCCAATTAGAAGAGACAAGTTCAATGAAAGTACTTGAGATGTAGGCTGTTACCTGGCTTCTTCCAACTGCTTCTCTCTTGCTTTCCTTTTGGCTTTCTTTCCCTGAGTGTTAGCCAAACGAGCTCTAGCTTCAGAAAGCATCTCAAGTTCATCTGCAAAACAAATATACCATTCATTTATTTACAAATGGGCAACACAGGATCAGAAAACCCTTTCAAAAGTTGAAAAAAACCTATAGATTAATACAAATTCTACATCACTTATGTCTTATTTGAGCTCTTTAGCTTGACATAATTCTTCATGTATATCCACTATAGCTCTATATTCAAGGGAAAAATTTAACTCCATATTAAAGAATAATTGAAGTTTGCTTCTCCATTACTGAGGCTAGGATCTCAGACTGAAAATTTTCAGGCATAAAAGATCTGCAAACACCATTTTCTGGAACAGTCTACATTCAGATTCTCCTTTCTGCATTGCAAGGCCACTAGCAACATCACACACATGAATTAAGGAAGCTAACTATAATCTAAAGCGTACCCAGAACCATTGGATAAGAAGATCACGTATTTGCTCAAACCAATTTTGAGGCTGTCCAACTCCTTGATTAATTTGATTGGCTTATATATAAAAATAGAGCAATAGATTTAAATGTAAGTGAAAAATCCTGGCCAACCAAAAAAGCAATACACCCACCATAGGCAGATGTAATTAATGGGGACTCTATGATCACCTTATCACACAGTCTGCAAGAACAACCATGTTTTCAACAGTTTTCCTAAATGTATCTCTGGGAGGATACTGTTCTAAAGGATCGGCGTTGCAATAGAATGGGCATGCTTCCTGGATACCCCTTGTTTGAATGGGAACTAGAATACAACCACCCTGCTTGGTCTTACCGGGATGGGCAGAAACAAATGAAGATAAGCAATTCCTTAGATAGCCAGATGCTCTGCCATGAACAGCCTTAAATGTAATAATTAGCAACTTGAAGTGCTTCTGGAAGCTGACTGGTAACTAGAACAACTGATGAAGCAGTGAGGTCGTGTGAGCATAATGTACCAATACTGCCTGTGTGTGTCATTCTGGACCAGCTCAGCTCCTGGATGGTCTGCAAGGAAAAGCTCTATGTACAACTCTGTATACAATTCAATCATAAGGTGATTGAATGACTTGAATGACTGTCTGAAGGGCCCCCAGTCCAGGAAAAGTGCAATTGGCACATTAGATGTTCCTGTATAAAAAGCCTTTTTTGGTCACAGCTGCCACCTGCTCTTTGAATAAGTACTGGAGATTCCAAGATATCATTAAGCCGCCCCATTGTTATGATGTATAAGTAACCATGAACTGGTGGATGAAGTCACTTAACAGTTTTATGCAGTGTTAAACAGAAGGGGAGGGAGCATCAAACCCTGTAGCATTCTGAAAGTATAGGAATTTATGCGTGATCTCTCCTTTTCTGTCAACGTTGAGTGAAACTGGCTGGGTCTAACATGAAGGTGACCAAGCTAACACTCTGTTAATTTGATGACTGGAGAACCCTATTCATTTCTTTCATTTTGGGATTTTGGGAATCAGAAAATCAAATTCACTCCAGCTTATTTCATAAGGCCTTGCCATTTCAACTAGATCTGTCTAGTCACAGTGCAAGTCCTCACAATGGCCTGATAGGTGGTCCTGTGACCGATTCTCCCTAATAGGACTCAGATAGTTTTAAACAGGGCAGCTATCAGCAGACATTAAAAAACAGAGAAATTATGTTTTGTCACCATGATGTAATCCCTAACATGGATTCTTAGTCATGCTGTTAGTTCACTCTTTATCTAAAGAGTGTTCCAAGTGTCCTAACACTAACGCTGAACTGTATTTCCCAGAGATTCTCAGAAAACAATGAGCACACCAGGTTATGCATAGTGAGAAAGTCACATTTAGGGCAACCCAGCCAAAGGCCATTATTATCAGCCCATTCTATGTTTATAAGAGAAAGACTCCCTCAAGTCTAGTTCAACCAACTTTCTTTTATTTCCTTCTTTCCTCCCTCCCTCCCTCTTGTAGATAAGACTATCAGACTATTGATTTAATGAAGAAAGTGAATAGGACAAATATTAATTTAAAAACATAAAACCAAAAGAAAAAAAATACTCAGGGACTGCTTCGATTAAAGGGAGACATAATTTTAAAAAAAAATAAATTCAAGCATACCCTCATCCATATCAATAGGATCTGGTCTGGCTGGCTTAGTTTCTGGGTTTGGATCAATTTCTCCAGGTTTAAGTTTTCTAGGATCATCAGCAGTTTCTTCCTCATTGTCCCTTTGAGCAGCTTTATCTCTACCAAGATGATACAAAAGCCAGCACAACGATAAGAAAACAACATTGCTAAGAAAATTACATAATTTAGTAATCACTGCAATTTCCAGAATGCCATAGGAAAAAGAATCAAAGCAAAACTTTAGGAATAGTATAATTCCTACTCTATTACTAAGCACTTCAAAGTTTTCTTCAATAAGTTGAGGCCATTTCTATAGCAGGAAGTCATCCAATATCTAAGAATGTATCCTCCCATTACAATGAAAAATTACTTACAATAAAAATTCATAATGCTCCAAACACTGGGCAGCTGTTCGTCCAATAATTGGTGCAATAGTTCTCCACTGAGTTGGCATAAGTTTGGCCAAATGGAGCAATTTCTCTTCTTCCTCTCGTGACCATTCTGTCTTCTTAATACTTGGGTCTAGCCATTCATACCTTATTCAAAATGAAAATATTGTTGCTTAACAGTAAATTTCTATCAAATATAATATGTCTATCAAACATTAAAAATATCAGCACTGACCTTCAATATTAAGAAATAAATTTCTTCCTTGGATGTCTTTTGTATAATTTTTTTACATGTATTACTGGCATTAGTTTAATCCCAAAACTATTTTTTCTTGTAGAAGTAATTAATTTTTAGAAGGCCTTTGCCTTTTAAATTTCTCACCAACATTTACTTTAAAATTACATGAAATTACATTACCATCTGGCTTTGCATTGTTTTGCTGATTTTCTGTGCAACAAAGAGGCAATACGAGACCACTGGTTTTTGCCATATTTCATTACAGCTGCTTTAAGAATTTCATCCTTAAAAGAAAAAAAAGTTTTGTTTATTACAGTATTTATTTAAGAAGTTTTGTTTTCAGTTCCAATCAAAAATTCTTATAAAAATCAATTTTGTTCCCTTTCATTACCCACCCCCTTTCTCTCTTAATATAACAACAAAAAATTAAATGAAATTGAAAATGAAAGATTTGAGATTGTTTACTAAGAAATACAAGGAAGGTGAGCTGGACACTGTATGGACTAGCATGTTCCAGTAGATCAAACTGATGGAGCTGACTTCTGTGATGGCTCTTTATTAGAATGTTCAGGTACAGTTATGTTAATAGACACATTCCTCTATGACTGCCAAATACAACTGAATATATAACTAGCCAAATGCTTTTCAACCCTGGCAGTTTGACGGTGTGTGAACTGCCAAGTTTGAGAAACACTGAACTATCCATTTGCTTATTTCACTGAATGCATTATCTGTGTGGAAATGAATTCCAAAATACTTTTTGCAGTTTACCTGCCTTTTCCTTAGACAATAATGAAAAGCGTAAGGTATGTACTGCTTTGGTTCAGGCTCCATTACATATAGTCCTCAATTTACAATGATTCATTCAGTGACCCTTCAATGTTACAATGGCACTGAAAAAAGTGATTTATGAGCAGTTTTCACTTACGACAGTTGCAGCATCCTGATGGTCACATGATCAAAATGCAAATGACATGTATTTATGTATTTATCCCAGGGTCATGTGATCACCATTTGTAACCTTCCCAGCTGGCTTCCAACAAAGTCAATGGGGGAAGACAGGTTCACTTAACAACCAGAAGATTCACTTAACATCTGCAGTGATTTGCTTAACTGTGGCAAAAATGTTCATAAAATGGGGCAAAAATCATTTGTCTTACTTAGCAACGGAAATTTTGGGCTCCCTTGTGGTGATGTCAAAAACTATTTTAAAAGAAATCTCTGGAAAAGCTTGCACAGAATTGACATAATTAAGTTTTTTTTTTTTTTAAATTTGATTTATATGCTGCCCTTCTCCGGAGACTCAGGGCGGCTTACAATGTGCTAAGCAATAGCCTTCATCCTTTTGTATATTTATACAAAGTCAGCTTATTGCCCCCACAACTGGGTCCTCAATTTTACCTACCTTAGAAAGGATGGAAGGCTGAGTCAACCTTGAGCCTGGCGAGATTTGAACCTGCAGTATAACTGCAGGCAGCTGGTCTTAATAACAGGGTGCTTTAGACCACTGTACTACCAAGGCTTTTATTCCAAATTATACAATTTTTTAATGTTCGCTCACATATTCAGTGTAAATATAAATGCAACAGCAAGAATGTACTAAGGATACAAAAATTCAAACGATGGCTAGATGGCAGCAAACACATTCAGAAAATCCTCTGCCACATCAAAATAGATTTTTGCAGTCCAGCTGCAATATCCCTAGCTGAACATTCATATAAAATTTATATTTCAGGATCACATTTTCAGAAAAGATCTATCATGGAATTGGCTTCAGTCTTTCTTAAAGCCCTGGCCACGTTTAGTGAAACTGAAGGGAAGATCCACGGGTTTCCTACCATGCTTTAAGGTCTGGCCAACAGTTAGAAAGATACAATTTGAAAGACAATTTGAAATAACCATCAAAAATGGTTCGTAATCTTATCAGAACTTATAGAAGAGAGAGAAAACTATGGGAGAATAGAAAACTATTCCTTGAGGATGAGTTCCAGCCCGAGTCCGAAAACTCGGGAAGACTAAAATATCTGATCCCGATGACCGACCCAGATTGGATCCTGCATTTAGGTATGTTTGATTGGTATCTACAGGAGCTAAAAGCAGTTCTCCCTTCTCCTGTCCCCCCCTCTCCCTCAACACAAATCCTGTGAAGTAGGTTAGGGAGAGAGTGGCCGAAGTCACCCAGGAGGCTTCAGTGGACCAGAACCAGCGCTTCCTACTCCTTGTCCAATTTATTAGTACGCTGGCTGTCATTGAGATCGGAGAGGAAGCTCCAGTCCCCAATACGGAGAAGGAAACAGACACTAAATTTAGCTTCACTTGTTAGTACTCTTGGAGATACGTATTTGGCGTCATGGGAGAGCAAGATGTAAGCTTCCATCCCGAACGCAATAATAATAATAATAATAATAATAATAATAATAATAATAATAATAATAATAATAATAATAATAATAATAATAATAATAATAAAAAGAGCCGCTAGCCAGATCCATTTTCTCTTCCACGCAGGCGTCAGGGCCTTCTGCGCATGCGCTTCTCCGCCGCCATGGCCCTAACCGCAGAGGCCCTATATAGAAAAGAGCGCAACTCTGCCCCGAAAAAGGTTGGGAAACCGTGAGAACGTTACCTCTGTATTCCGCCACACGCCCCCTTTTATCATGATCCGCGGCATCTTGACGGTGGGAGAGTAAAGCCCCACAAAGGGAGACAAACAATAACGGCGGAACAAGCAAAACAGCCCCCTCAACGACTCGAGAGGCGCTTGGACGACTTGCACAGGCGCACTCTCGCCAAGAGAACGCCTCCTGCGAGGACTCTCCAGGAAGACGCGGGATTGGGCAAGAGGAAGCCCCGCCCACTTATGGGCGGGGACGGGGTTCCTTCTCTTATGCGTGCGTGTATAACAGAGGTCCTCAAACTTGGCAGCTTTAAGACTTGTGGACTTCAACTCCCAGAATTCTCCAGCCAGCTATGCTAATAAGCATAGCTGATCCTAAACCAGCTAATCCTGGGAGTTGAAGTCCACAAGTCTTAAAGCTGCCAAGTTTGAGGACCTCTGGGTAAAGGGAGGCTGCTTTCCCCTTTAAGGCGGGATAGTTTCTCTTTGTATTGAAGCCGATGGCTTTTCACCCGACGGTGTCAATTAATTTACGAATTCCACGGTGCTGCTTCTTTCTCTCCAGAACGTGATCCTCTCAGTACTGGTTTATGCATCGGAATTTAATTTGTTTGAGTTTCTGCTCTGTAGATTTCCTTTTTAAAAGTCTTGTTTGTCCTCATTTCTCTGGGGGAGGGCGGCGGGGGGGGGGGAACCGTGCATCGCATAAAGTCCGAATCAAAAGGGAAAATAGCCCAACGTCCCCCGCACGCAGGAATCCTCGCAGCCCTTCCCAGTTGCGCCAAGTCCCTTCAGGGTCCCTCCCGACTTCAAAGCAACGCGCTCCGCTCCGCTCAAGAAGTCCCATCGCGGGCGAAGCTCCACTCCCGTCGGAAGCCATGGAGAGGCGCGCGCCTGTGCGTGAAGTGCCCACACGCTTATTTGGGGAGCTTAACCCCCAAGAGCGCTCAAAGCAGGAAAAGCAAGCGGGAGCAATGGGCGGCTCTCTTTCGTGCCTCTGGTCCGGCTGACTGAGTCGTGGTAGCGGAGGAGCTGGCGCCTCTGCCTCAAGAAGGTAAGCGGCGAAGGGGTGGAGAGGGCTTGGCGTCTTCTTTCCTCCTGTTTGCCTTCAGCTTGGAGGGTGAGTTGGACAAAGCGTGATTTACCAGGTTCGGAGTAATGTTATCAAAAACAGGGACGGGGTTGTTTATATGTCCCTTTTATAGCGACGCAAAAAAATAATAAATAAAATGTTGCACCCTCCGACTCTCCACTTCCAAAGAGAGAATAGAATAGAATTCTTTATTGGCCAAGCGTGATTGGAAACACAAGGAATTTGTCTTGGTGCATACGGTCTCAGTGTACATAAAAGAAAAGATACATTCATCAAGAATCATAAGGTACAACAGTGATAGGAACAAATAAGCAATCAAATCATATTAGGAAATAGTCAATATAAATCTATTTCCAAAGAGAGAGGCTTCATCAACCAGAAAACATAAGCCTTGGTAGTACAGTGGTCTAAAGCGCCCTTATTAAGAACTGTTATTAGGAACAGCTGCCTGCAATTACTGCAGGTTCGAATCTCGCTAAGGCTCAAGGTTGACTCAGCCTTCCATCCTTTCTAAGGTAGGTAAATTGAGGACCCAGTTGTGGGGGCAATAAGCTGACTTTGTATAAATATACAAAAGGATGAAGGCTATTGCTTAGCACATTGTAAGCCGCCCTGAGTCTCCGGAGAAGGGTGGCATATAAATCAATTTTAAAAAAAAAAAAGATGTTAATGAGGCCCTTAGGATGAGAGTTGCAGTGTCCCACTGTGAAGACACACAACAGGGACTTCGTTAGCACCAAATAATAAAACCCAATGTAAACTTTGCCGGATTCTCACCAAACAGGCAAAAGAGGTTGAAGGAGCCAATTGGCACATAACTTGACTTCCACTTGGCAAATTCATAGGTGGAAATGAAGCTGCAATAAATGGCCCTGAAGAAGCAGATCGGTAAATTATTTCAACGGGCAATGATTTTTTTCGCAGCCATTAGTTCAGTTAGTTGCTTCAAAGTGGATCCTCACTTTGGCTTCAGGGCAATTATTTAACAGAGGTTGTGTCCTCTCCACATCCTCACAGAAGGAATTACAACAGAATAAGCAAGAAACAATGGGGAATACATCAGGATGTTTGTGCAGTCCGCTCAGATGTGCAAGTGCATTCCTTTCAATATGTAGTTCCCACTGTATATTTGTCATTGGGGTTAGTCACTCTCTTGTAATCTTTCCTCTCCTATCCATCTGGTCTGCAAGGGAGGCAGAAAAAGAAAAGAAAAGAAACACAATAGGCCAGGTAGAGGATAAGCATAGTGACTCTACTGGCAAACACAAGACTGAGAAGCTTCAGAGATTGTAAATGCAGGCATTGGTCATAAATCTGTTTTCCAGCACCATGGTAATTTCAAACAATCGCTGATTGAAGCAATTGGTAAACAAGGATTATCTGTACAAACATTAATTCCCTTCTTTTTAATCATCCTGGCAATAGAATGAACATCCAAAGGGCAGGGCAGCAGGGAAAAGGAAAGTACAGGCACTGTCATGTAATTTCCCATTTAGCGACTGCTTCACTTAACAACAGAGCTGCTGGTCACAATTGTTGCCTATTGAAGACTACCTATAATGGAGACTGGAAGCCTACTCTTTGTCTTTTGTTAGAAATTCAAAACAGTTGTATGTGTTTCATACAAGCCTTAATGTTTAGAAGCCTAATTGTTTACATTTATTAAGGGATGGCAGGATAGAAGTGATTTTCTGTTATTTAGTTGGGAGTATTGAAATGTTTGAACCTCACAATAAAGTGAATTTTGTATCACATATTGCATTTTTTAAATTGTTTCTATTATTTACCGGTAAAATGAACTATCAGGAATGTGTAACTTCTAATACCCAAAAGATATAGATGTCTGATTCCGGGTTTTATTATTTACTATTAATTAGTTATTTGATTTAAAATGGGATTTTATTGTACTTGTTTCTTAACTTGTGTTCGCCACCCTGAGTCCTTCGGGAGAATGGCGGCATATAAATACATGAAATAAATAAATAAATAAATAAATAAATAAATAAATAAATAAATAAATAAATAAATGTCTTAAGAGAGAACTATTCTATTTATTTTTATAATCTATTTTGCAGCCTATGTTAAACTTTGTTTCTGAAATAAATACAAAGCACTGATAAGTTTAAGAACAGAAACATATTTGAAAACTAAACTTTAATTATAGTAATAACAATTCTATAAGCCATGTGAAAGCTCATGAAGATCTCCAAAATTATGAGCATGCTAAAATATTTTCCTTTCCTTTCTGCTGCAACAAAAAGTTTCCTACAAGTACTCTGTGAAATACTCTTAGACTTAAACCATGCAGTTTCTTCCATTTTATTTTGCATATTTATATATTTGCTCACTGAGATTTATTAAGCCAATATTCATGAATTAATGTATTGTAAAGCTAAGACAACTGAAGCCTATTCAATAAATCATGATTAAAAATTTCATACTGTTCCTCCAAAGACGACCCACCTTGAAAAGAAGCCCTATCATGTTTTTGAGAGCATTCAAATTAAGCCCCACCCACAAAATTAGCCCTAATTAAGAACCCACTCACCATGGGGTGGGGCGAGGCACACATGTAAAAAATAAGCTAGGGTGGGGATGGGGGGGTGGAGTTGCCCTATTTACCAGGCCTCGCACACCCCAAACACCTGCCATGCCTTCTGCAGCCACTTGCCACCACTTGCACGCATTGGCCTGGCCTCCGTTTTGCTTTTAGATGCCTGCCAGAAGGCATCTGCAGCCGATAACAGCTATTATTGGCTGCAGAGGGCTTTCCAGAAGGCATCTGAAAGTGAAACAGAGGCCGGGGCAATGCGTGTGAGAGGTGGCAAGTGGCCACAGAAGTGGGCCAGCAGCAGGCTCCTGCTGGGCAGGGCTATTGGTGCCACCGCCGCGAGGTGAGTCAATAATTAGAACCCTCCAAAAAGAAGGCCTAGCTGTTTTTTCTGGGGACAAGAAAATAAGATCCGGCCTTCTTTTTGGAGAAACACAGGTATTATCATAACTTGTGTTAAGTGATAAATCTCTTCTGTGTTGAAGAACTCCTGAAGAATTCTGGTAATTCTTGATTGTGGTATTGCAGCTCATTCATTTCATTTCATTTCTTCACTCTCTATCGCTGCCCATCTCAAAAACTCTGGGTGGCTTACAAGTCAAAAAATATAATACAATTAAAACATTTAACTTTTTAAAACAATGTCTCTATGAGGGTGTCTCATCATTAACATGTAAGGACTAACATCCACATGAATATTTATTTCTGTGCATATTGCTCATGTTACATCAATAAAGTTTCCATCACATTGTATAAACTATCCCAACAACATATTTGTGCCAAAAGTTTAATAGCTAAATTTGAATACATTTGAGATGTTGCTGCTCTACTCAATTCTAGCAGCTTTATTTTACAATTTGTTTAAATGTGTGGATTGTAAATAAAGCTGCTAGAATATATGTATATATATGAAACAACTTATATGCAATAGCTATTTAAACATTCAATTGAATTTTTATTGAGCCATTTTGATTTTAATTTTTATACATGCCCATTCATAAATTTTTCTCACCCCTTTTTATACTTTCTTAGAAAGCACCACAAAATATCAGACATTGAAGCTGATTTAAATTGATTATTTTCCTTGCAATTGATCATATCACATTCATATAATAAATCTGTACATGTATATAATGTGCAGAATGAATTATTAAATGATAATGGTTTATAGTGATTGCTGCCTCTTATCCAGACATTTTTCAATATCATCAAGAACCTGGACAGCTGCTTTAGGAATTCGAGTTCCTGGGCCAAATATATTGGAAACGCCAGAGTCATATAGGTAGTCATAATCCTATTCAGGGAGAGAAAAAGACAGATCAACATAAATAGATTAGATTTTGCTAGTAAAATTACCAAGGAGCCTTGGTAGTACAGTGGTTTAATGCACCCTGTTATTAACACAGCTGCCTCCAATTTCTGCAGGTTCGAATCTTACCAGGCTCAAGGTTGACTCAGCCTTCCATCCTTTCTAAGGTAGGTAAATTGAGGACCCAGTTTGTGGGGGCAATAAGCTGACTTTGTATAAATATACAAAAGTATGAAGGCTATTGCTTAGCGCACTGTAAGCCGCCCTGAGTCTCCGGAGAAGGGCGGCATATAAATCAAATTTAAAAAAAAAAAAAAAAATCTGCAAGATGACACTTTCATGGTGGCCTGCTGAGATGGCAGCAAGTGGGAAAACAACAAACAGCAAGTGAAGCCACTGAGAAGTCTGCAATTCCTAAGTAAGTATTAATCTAATCTAAAATTAAAAATCTTCAGAAAAGTGCATGTTACCTCCTGCACAAGGAGGCCACCATGATTAGGAGGTGCATAGCTATTAAAGTGAAGAATACTCAAAGGAAAAAAAACCCTGAAAAAATAGGCTTTGTAGTTTTAGATTAGTTTCTTTGTTTATATTTAAAAATGATCTATGGGTACACTGTTGACTTAGAAGATTTTGTACCCAAAGGTATTTTTTCCCAACCATGTAACTGCAAAATATTTTTCAAGGTAATTAATGTGAGAGGTTGTTGTGCAGCTGGATATATTATGTACTTTTAGTATTTTGAAAATATTTAACATCAGGTTCTTGATGTTATGTAACAAGATACGGTAGATGGAAAAAAAAATCCTTGAATGACGTTAACAATTTGTAAGAAATGAAAAAGATAGAAAAATGTAAAAACAACCCACCAACCGATCACAAACAAATCACCCCAGATGTAAAATAAAATTTCTCCCAAAGTTTATAATAACAAGTGGAACTGAATAATCTCACAATTAGCCTGTGTCCTTAGATGTGCAAGGTATGGTACTAAATACCTGAGGAGGGATGACACCTCCACACATGACAAGAATATCTGGGCGTCCAAGGCTATTTAGCTGTTTGATGAGTTCAGGAACAAGAGTTTTGTGACCGGCAGCTAGTGTGCTCACCCCTACACAGTGCACATCAGCATCTACAGCCTGCTGAGCCACTTCAAGGGGTGTCTAAGCAAGAAAGAGCAAATAAAGAATATGTAAAAATTAACAGTTTGTGTATTTTTCATACACAACAGCAGAACTAAAACACTGTATGAACTACTGCAGCAAACTGATTCTTATTTTTCTAAAATCTTTTTAAAAATTATTTAATACTTTAGCATTTTTGAGTCACTTGGATGGGAGAGAACAGAGATTGATTTAATCTGTCAATCAGAAAGCAAGCAACAAAACAATTAAAAGGCTAAATACCTGGAATAGTGGACCTATATCTACATCAAAACCAAGGTCAGCAAATCCTGTAGCAATTACTTTGGCTCCTCTGTCATGGCCATCCTGGCCCATTTTAGCAACCAGAAGACGTGGTCTACGACCTTCCCGTTCCAGGAACTTGTTAACTCTAAAAAAATAAATATCAGACAGGGTACTACAGAACCACTAAACATGTTTACTGTTAGTCAAAGAAAATTTTTAAAAAATCATTAAGGATGCAAATTGGGGGCACACTATTGCAAGGACCACACATGCATTGTAATGGCATGTTGAGGGCTGCAAAAGAGGACAAGATTTTAAATGAGATGTTTTTGAATTTTCTATGATTTGTTATTTTCTTCCTCATATACATATCTTCAATGTAAGTGCAGGTAGACCTCGACATACTACCATAATTGAGCTCCAAATTTCTGTTGTAAGCGAGACAGTTGTTAAGTGAATTTAGCTCCATTTTGCAATGTTTCTTGCCACAGTTGTTAAATGAATCACTGCAGTTGTTCAGTTAGCAACACGGCTAAGTTTGCCCATTGACTTTGCTTATCAGAAGATAGCAAACAGTGATCACATGACCTTGGGATACTGTAAGTATCATAAATATGAATCATTTACCAAGTGTCTGAATCCTCATCATGTGATCATGGAGATGGTACAATAGTCATAAGTATGAAAAACAGTGATAAATCACTTTTTTCAGGGCCATTGTAACTTCAAATGGTCACTAAATGAACTGTTTTAAGTCAAGGACTACGTGTATTTTCCTCTTAAGGAAAAAGTAAACAGGATTTGTTATTTCTAGCTCCAGCTATGTGTGTATTATATAGTTTGTTGTATTGATTTTATACTGGTTGGGTTTTCATTTTTTGTTTTTAACTAATATTCCCCCCCCCCGAGCTATTGTTGGGCAACCTTGTGTATTTTAGAAATAGTGCAGAATTATTAAGCAGCTGTAAATGCAATCGTTTTCTCAACTAATGAACATAAAAATTGCTGAGGATTTCTGTTCTTTTGGAATAAAGAAATAAAGCTAGTTGTTAAGGTACCAGGCTTGAAACCTGGAGACTGAGTTTTAATCCCACTTTAGGCCTGAAAGCTGGCTGTGTGATTTTAGGTCAGTCAGTCTCTCAGATCAATATACTACACAGGACTGTTGTTATGGGGAACGTAGGATGAGAAAGGAGTATTAGGTTTTGTTCACTGCCTTGAGTTATTTATGAAAATAACAAAGGCAGAATATAAATAAATAATAAAGGAAAGGAAAGGAAAGGGGGATAAAGGATTGGGTATCGACAGAATGGAAAAGTAGAGAGAGAAAGAATAGGAAAAAATTGAGAGAAATAGATAAAAGGTAGAGGAAGAAAACTGATAGAAGGAAATCTAGTGAAGAATATATAAGCAGGAAAAAGAAGGCTTTAAGGAAATGAAGGGACACGGCAGTTCATGTCACACACATCCTGGAAGTCATAGAGTTATCATTTCCAATGTACAGACATAACTTTGAGTTGTGTAAAGACTATGAGCATAAAATTACATGTACATATCAGTTTATAGTTTTGAAACTGAAAACTAAAAGATTTTTTAAAAATCATATTCAAAATATACTTATTTGCTAAATTTTAATGTCAAAATATTGTCAAATCTCATTAGTAAAATGATAGATTAAATGAATGAATTATTAAACAATTAAACTAAAAAAAATAATGTGGAGTCCCTACATAGAAACATTAAAAATTATTTAGATATGCAGAAAGATACAAAAGCTTTTAAGGTATTAGTGGATTTTACAAAATTTTGAAGAATCACATTTACTAAAGAAATATAACTGGCTTACAGAATGGAAAAGAGAAAGCAACCTCCTAATTTAACAATGAAGAGAAAATATATAAGACCTAAGATAAACTACAGGTAGTCGTCAATGTACAACCATAAGTTTTTCCAATCATTAAGTAAGTCACCATGTGACTATGCTCAATTTTATGACATCTTGCAGCAAACTCCATGGTTGGTAATTAAATGCGGTGGTTGTTATGCAAGCCCATTTAGCCATTTTTGTTGGAAGCTGGAATGAAACACTATTTTCATGTAAAAAAGTCATAAATCACTGTCACACTACCAAACAGCTGTAAATATGGGTGAGTTGCCAGCCACCCAAAATGCAATTTTGAGATCATGCGGAGTGGCCATTGGAACTTTGAAACTGGGATGTAAGTTCCTTTTGGAGATCTGTGTTTGCTTCCCTAAGCAAGCAGTCATAAGTCAAGGACTACCTGTAGAGAATTTGAACTCTTGGAAAATAAGACACACAAACACAGAGGAAAAGAGTACATGTTTTACCTGCTGATGGCTTGAGTAATCTCATCACTCTCTCCAAATTCCTGACGGTATGCACCACTCACCATGCGATCACTGGCTCTGTGCTCACCAAATACCTTTTTCATTGCATCTGTTATTTCACCAATTGTACATCTGAAGCAAGTATACAATCAAAACATTACATTTATTTCTTTTGACAAGGTATAAAGTATAAAAATATAATAGTTAGCAAAAGCTATGTTCTTGTACTATAGCAGTATGCTGTACAAATAGCATGCTTATTTACACGTTCTCCAGTTCGATATTTAAAATTATAATAGCTTGCATATATATGCATAATCTTTTAAGATATATATCTTGATTTTTGTTCAAAAATGCAAGGAAATATATACCGTGCTCCCGCTTCACATCTCTTCCCCTCCTGAAAATCCCCGCCCCCATGAGGTAGTTGGGCTGATAGATGACTGGCCTAGGGTCACTCTGCGAGCTTCTCTGGATAAGGATGGATTTCTGCTGTTAATCCACACCTTTATTGCTAAACAACACTGCCTCCTAGTTCAGTTTTGTGGCATTAAATACTCTCAGGGAGAACTGTTTTTGAAGTGATTAACAGAAATGTACTGTTTTCATCTTAATGCATTACAATGGATAGCATGATTGGAATATGTGATTATATCAGTTTCTCAACTACAGTATGGGCTTTTACAGTTCTTGTATAGGCTTTCATGTCAACATGGTGGCAGGCATTCAAAATTACAGGTGAATAAATTAAAGCTAGGTTTTAGCACATCCAACTATTAAATCTAGCCTGGTGCCTTAACCACTAGACAAAATTCTTTTGTATATACCAGTAATCTCATCTGTCTATGGAGACTCTCCATAGAGTCACTGTTATTCCAAAGGTGTTTCCCCCCCTCAAAAAAAGGCAACTGGGCTTTGTTTTTCCTTGAAGATGTTTCGCTTCTCATCCAAGAAGCTTCTTCTGTTCTGCAGTAATCTCTTCTGTATACATTTTTAAAAGCAATGGACATACTGGGTATTCTAAGGATATTCTAGTAATTTATCTCCATGTTCCTTCATACCACGAAAACCCTGGGTAAGCCTCAAATGTTGCTTTGCAGATTGAGTGCAGGGAGGCACTGTGCTTGTCAAGTACATAACTCTCCTATGAACCAAAAGAGTAGCTCTAAAGTCCATTTAGTTATTTGATAAATGTGCACAATCCTTTCCACCTACCTTGCGCGTGCTGCTTCTACTGCCAGGGCCAGCAAGTTACCTTGGCTTGTAGCCGCACATTCAGTTAAAGCAGTGAGACACTTTTGGGCTGCTACTTCATCTCTGCAAGCTTTCACCTTTAAGGAGAAGCATGAAAGAAAAGTAATATTGTACACTACTAATCACAGCATATTCCACCCCGACTTTCCTCACGTATCTATGTTTATGAAAAAAAAAAAAGACATATTGAGCCATCTCAGTTACAAAATACCTGTATGTCTGAAACTGGGGTTTAAAGCCAAGCACAAACTAAAGAAAGACTGACAAGTTTGCAAATCAACTGCTCTTAAACTGCTAAATACGTTGGTCCTTGACTTACAACCACAAATACAAAGAGCCTTGGTACTACAGTGGTTTAAAGCACCCTGTTATTAACACAGCTGCCTGCAATTTACTGCTGGTT